TACCAAGGCACGCAGAACTACGAGGTCTGGTTGATTGAAGGCGGCCGTTATCTGACAACGCTACACGTCTGTTTCCTTGAGCATATCGGACGCGACAATCCCCCAGATCCTCGTGATATCATCAGGTCCCTGCCACCAGCCGCGCAGAAGCGACTGAGGCTCAGGAAGAAGGGAATACCAGCAGTTAGAATCAAGAACCGCAATCCCAATATCGTTAGAAAAGACATTACAGACAACGAGGGCACTATGAAACGCAAGCGTGGGCGCCCAAAGAAAAAGCACCACAACGTGTATCAACTGCGCGTTGACTTTCCTAACTCCAATGAGATTAAGAGCGCCCTAAAAATGCTCTCAATCCAAGAGGGCGAGAGTGGCAAGGAAGGCGGCTCAGTAGCTGCTTCTGACTCTGATTAGGACGACTCTTACAGCTATTTTTATCCTAAATGGTTCAATTACAATGCATACTTTGCAAAGGAGCGCGCTGCGGCGGCTATGTTTTATAATACAGCCACTACTATGAATTAGATGAACACTCAGATTATGAAGGAGCTCCTCAAAGACGAGCAAGAGTGTCTAATCAACCCTGATCAGGACGACCCTGGCGGTCACAGTGCAGCCATGTATTATATGAGGATGCTATCGCCTAACTATAGGCTGATAGAGGCCAGAATAGTTACAGACCCTACCTTTAAAGAAGCTATGAATAGACTAAAAAGGGAGCTGTGGATTGCAGCTATCTTCAAAGAGATCAGAGAGAACCTTGAGCGCGGCACCTTCGGCTTCAAGTGCACCAGCGAGGCTATCACAGGCCATCTGATCGACGCAAAATAGGTACTAAAGAAGAAGTTCCTATCTATTGGTGAACTTGATAAGTTCAAGGACAGGATCTGCGCAAGGGGATTCACACAGCCCAAGGGTATTGACTACAATAAAACTGCGGCTTCTATAGCGCGTTCAGTATCATGGAGGATACTAATAGCGCTTACCGCTTCACTAGAATGGCACATCATCCAGATCAACTTCATTGCCGCATACCTGAACGGTGAACTTCAGGAGCACATCTTCATAAAGCAGTTTCCTATGCTATATGAGTATTTCCAGGCCCATCCCGATCAGGCCAGGCTGTATCGCTATGCTTCTGAAAAGGTCATTGAGCTGTTGAGACCACTGTACGGCCTGAAATAGTCAGGCGCAATATGGCAGAAGAAGGTACGCAAACTATTTAGCAAGCGCGGATTTGAACCCCTCATATTGGGTGATGCGATCTACTTTAACAGTGCTACATGTGAGGTGATTGCCTTGTATGTGGACGACTTCCTCCTCTTTGGATCTGATCTTCGGCGCTTCATGGACCTCACCAAGTCCATGAAAGAGGACGCGCTGATCACAGGCAAAGAGGCCATAGACTGGTTCCTGGGCGTTTGGATTGTTAAAAACGCTGACGATGGCGACGTGAGGCTTGATCAAGAACAGTATGTTACAAAGATCAAAAAGAAGCTGGGTGTACAGCACACCAACCATGTAATCTCTCCTCTTGATCCTATAATGGCTAAAGAAGCCACAAAACACACTGGAAAGGCCTCTACAAACGAAATCCATAATTATGCCTCTACAATCAGCCAGTTCATCTTCCCAGCGTGTATTGTATGCCCTGACCTAGCTTTTGCGGCTTCGACCTGGGCGCGATTCATGAACAACCCATCCCTGAGCCACTATCAGGGCCTCAAAAGGGTCGCCAAATACATGAACGGGACCTGGAAGAGAGCTATACGATATAGGCAATTGGCAAAGGATCGTCTTTATCGCCGTTTCAACAAGCTGGGGCTCCATGGAGCTATGGATTCGAGCTTTGGGACCTGTACAGATACCGGCAGATCCATTACAGGCTTTGTATTCTTCCTCTCCGGCGCCTTATCCTGTGGCATTTAAAGCTGCAGACAGTGGTAGCAAAAAACATCTATGAGGCTGAATACATCGCTCTCTTAGAGGCAGCAGGAGATGCGGCATAGATCAGGAGCTTCTTCACAGAGCTCAACTTGAAGCTAGAAAGGCCAATTACCTTGCTAGAAGATAACAATGGCACAATCGCATGAATAAAGGAATCGCAAATATCAAAACAGAAGCGCCACATCCGTATCGCATACCATTACACTCGCTAGGAAGCTGATGCTAGCTATATCAAGGCCCAGTACGTCAAGAGCGAGGAAAATCCAGCTGATGGATTCACCAAGGCGCTCTCAGGGGTGAACCACAAGGAGTTCGTACGGCTATTAGGCCTGGAGGACTTTGAGTAGATAGACAAATGGATCACCAGATTGTTGGCTTGGAGTGCTATAGCACGCCTGCCGTGATCCCAGACAGATAAATAGACTGTGATTTTGCTGATTTTATAGTGCAATTGCACCTTTTGGGCAAGAGGGCGTGTCAGATGTTGGATCCCAGATATAGTGCCCTTAGATACAGTACCCGCTAGGGGGCTGCCAGGGGACCAGTGGGTCCACCCTAGCATGGTGCAGTATGGTATTTAGCTGTAGATTAGCCCTGCCAAGCATACTTGAGAATGACAACAACATTTGCAGCGACTGCTCACACCCCCAAGGCTTGTGATCCTTCTAGAATATCATATAAAGCTTTTTAATAACGCGGTATTAATTTTAAAAGGCTATTAGGTTCTAAGTGGTATATATACTAGAGCCTTGCAATTTCATTGGTTTCCCGCACGTCGGGCGGGGCCCCTACTAGACGTCATAGCCCCGGTTAAAAGACGTAAATCTATATGCAAAGTGAGGGGGACTAGAAGTCACTTTTTGTTAGATACTAGCACGAATGTGTTGAATGGGAGCCGGAGATAGACACCGGAAGATCTCCAGTGGGGCAGAGACGCACAGGGCATCTGACCCACCAAGAAGACAGATGATGAATCTCTGCACACTGAAGAAGCAGAGCAGAACAATCAATAGAATCAATCAACATCCGTGTATTCAACACTTTTCCACAGGTTAGCCAACCGACCAAAATCCTATCGAACATGCCCTTACTAAGTGGCTGCGTTCGACGGTTTTCCGCGTCTTGCCCAATGAAAGCAAATCCACCGAAGGAAGTCAAGGATCAAGTTCCTTCCAAACGCTTGCATGTAAGAGGTCCACCCCGCCACGTGGATTCCCTAGTCTTAGGTATGTACAGCAGGGCACTTTGCAAGGCCGAAGCAAAGAGTGGATTATTCTATTCTCAGCCCATTGCGGGCCAGCTTCTGGTGTCGAAGGACAGATTCCTCGCCTTCTCCACTGCTCCGTATTGTCGTGGCTGTCTACTGCTACGTAGTTATGTAACTGGACGGTCTGGACTGACCTTCTCGTCCTCGACGACTTCCCCCAGGAGGGGGCTTGTAACGTGCACTCCACCTCGTGTAGACCTCGAGTTAGGGACAAAGCTCTCGGTCCCGGAACGCCGCTGTAGCCGTCCATACATGGAACCCGACAGGGCCGGCTAATTGACTGCCCATGGGCCATCAGCCTTCCGAGGACTCGATAGGGCGTCTCGTGCTTGCGCCCTGTCAGGGTCGTGATGAACCCTAAGCTGGATGTCCCCTCGTAGGCGCCTGGCCGCCTCGCATGCTCTGTTTCACATTATATCCAGGTATGACGCCACAGCCCTCGCTGCTTTGCCCCCCTCGTATTGCCCTTCGACCGCCCAGGAATGACGAAGGCGAGCCATGCTGCCATGATACGCCGGGACGGGAGACACCCGGTTTGTTGCTAAGTTAAGCCTCACGGCTCCACTATTAGGGCAGCCCTCCGTTGAGCTCGCGCAGGTGAAGGAGCTTTGTTGGAAGGTGGAATGACCAAGAATTCATCGTGTTATCCACTGCTTGCCGGTATAATTATAACTGTCCAATATAGTAACAGTAGCGCGCCCCATAAGGTACCCCCCGTGATATACATACATACGTTGATAAATTTATATCATTGTTACCGCCACTTGCTAGCTTGCTTGAGGTTCTTACACTTATAGTTATATAGCTGTGCTCATATTTATATCTAGATATCTGGGATGGTGCAGGACGCGCTGTTTACCATCCTTGTCTCCTGTAGCTCCTACATATCAAGGCAAGCAAATGTGTCCTGGAATGACAGCGATGAAAGCGCCCGGCTCCTTGTTTAGCATCTGGTCCACTTATTAGTTGCTTGACTTAGCTATCAATAACTACTCGCTGTTGATCCTCAGGGGCTCCCACACCCTGGTTTCTGGATCTAGAAGCCGACGGATCCTCAAGCGCTCAACCTTATACTCTAGAATGTGACAATCAGGCCTGCAGCTGCGCTGGTCAGAGCTGATGGGTTGAAATATCTAGATTCAACGATATCTAAGGAAGAAGAGGCAATGTCGGAAAAGAAAGGGGAAGCTAGGGGTATATATGTACATAAATATGTGGAGGTATTATGTAATACCGTAACATAGAAACAGACTGATCTACAAAGCCGACGCGTTTCTACCCGGTAGTGGCAACGGGCACACCGTAGGGCTAGATGTTTGAATAGACTGTACTATGAAGTGATCACAGCTATGAAGTCATAACATGAAAATACGATTAGCCGAAGCAATGTGTTAAGAAATCATGTATTTAAGCTTTCGATTGTGCCTCAGGCTGCGCACTATTACTGACCGCTTAACATTATCCTTCAGGATAAAAATCACTGCTTCAAACCCAACTCAGCATATTCCACCCAGGCCAACTTGTTATACAACCAGGCCAAAGCCACAGTACCTGTTGAACTTCCCCTTCCGTTCAATTCCAGAACGCGCACCCCTCCGAAACGCAAGATGAAGTTCGGTGGTTTCCTCTACACTGCTACCGCACTCCTCGGAGCCAGCAATGTCATCGCAGACGCAACAGCACCAAAGCTCCAGCCAAGGGCTAGACCCATACCTGATCACGGAATCCTCGCCGCTCGTGGCCCCAAGCCCGAAAATATCGAAAAATTCGACCTCGGAAGACGCAAATGGCCAGTTGGTACGAGACGAATAACGAGAAAAGAGATGATCTCGGGGGCTGGTGGTACATTTACGTCGACCAGATCGTCAACGGCAAGGCGGTCGAGACGCTGCAGGAGGCCTTCGGTGAGGCCGGTACCAAGTTCCAGGCTGGCCAACGGGGCTGTATTCGATCGGGCTCGGACACGTTCGGTAAGCTCAAGGACAACCCTTTCATGAAGAGTGCCGAAACCATGCTGGAGATGTACGAGGACGCGATGGACAAGGCGGAGATTGGTCAGGTCGTTGCGTGGGGCGGAACGAAGAGCGCGAAAGACATCAGCATGTTGATTTTTTTCAAGCGCTAGTTAGACTGTCACATCCTGTGCATGCTTCTCTGACAAGTTTGCACACTACCTAGACTGAGTCCACAAAAGTCTGCAAGCACAAGGAGCTTCATTATACTTCAAGATAAACGCTACATATAGCTTAAGCAACCTGAAATAGACGCTCATTTTTGCTCATCTAGCTCTTAACTATTGCTTATTCCAGGATTCTTACCCGACCTACATCAAGATCATACGTAGAGCTAACTGGCCAACACAGTACAGCACACTTGACTGCCCTCAACTCATGTCATACCTGGCTGGTGTGAAGCTACAGTCTTACGAGAGTCGGTCTCATCATAGACACCAGCCCGATGCTGATACCATACTTCATCAGTCCCCGCCTTATTCCTTCCGATGCGAGATTCTTAAACGAGATGGCCTCAGCAGTAAAAGGTTAGATGAGAACACTGCAAGCTGGGCTTACGGCTAATCTGACCCATGTGTCCCATCGCGTACTATACTCTTGAGTGGATATTCGACACGCCCTCTTTACACACCTCGTTACCACGAGCTCCTCAATCTAGGTATAATGTCTATGAGTAAGCCTCGGCTCTGGCAGATGCTAGCTAGGATCAGTAATCCACCACGGACCTGGTGTGTCGAGTTACATAAAAGTAGGTGTAGACCATGCCGCCACATTCAAGATACCGACGATTGGGTCCGTAGGTCATGCATACTACTCACCTAGGTATGAGAACTGCAATCCTTCACACACTCGCGAAAGTGGTTGCAGTCGGTCTGAGTCTGAGTTATCTATAAGAACGAAAATTGTTTGGCCCATTGAGGTGAGAGACTCCAAATCCAACACGGTTACCTTGAATCCATCGAGATTCTGGCCGCCGCGGGCCTCTCAGTAATCCACGCAACTTTAGGGTGCATGTGTAAGGCGACACACGTCAGCCTCAGCTGAGTTGTCTGCATGTCCCACATACCCTTGTAATTTGATGATTTTCTGGAGGTCGTTCACGGTTGAGCTGTCAGCTGGCGTCAGCAATATAAATTTTCAAGGCCTATCCCACTAGTCACTCTCGTAGCTTACTGAGCCTTGTCGGTGTATGACGAGAGACGGGGGCAGGCCTCATTCGGTCGATTCCGGTTGACGCTCGTGTAAAAATGGCGTCCCCCGAAACACTTCATGGGAGGTTTAAATACGAGGTGTTGATCCCCTTCAAACCTCGAGACGAAATATCTTCAGCATCTCAACTATCCCTTCTCAGAGTCAGGTATAACACTCCATCTTTTGGGGATACTAATACTTCTACTCTCTTGCCACTTTCCCCTCTCAGTCCCGTGTTCCAAGATGAGATCTTCAACCTTCGCCATACTGGCTTCTGCTGGATATGCCCGAGCCCATACCGCTGCATGGGTCAGAGGGATGTACTGCCTGGTAAGTTTCTGCCCCAATATGGTACGAAGCTCACTTACTTACCCTGGGATAGAACGGCACGAGCCCCGGTGTCGACGACTCCAACACGAACACGGCTGTCAACCCCTTGTGGGACCTGCCCAAGAGCCAGTGGTGGATGCAGCACGATCGTGGCTGCGACCAGTTCCCGCCCGCCGACGGTGACTCCCTAGAACTGCCCGCTGGCGGTTCATTCACAGTCGAGCTGGCCCATAACCGTGCCCAAACCACTCTGTCATACAATGGACAGTTTGCGTCAGACTGGCCCGATGGACAACAACACCCGGAAGACTGGCATGCTGAGCAAGACTCGTGCCTCGAGGATGGCGCCCTGCACACATACAACGAGTCGACCGCTGCTGGAACCGCGTTCGCGATCTCTTATCAATCGGATATATCCCAGGTCACCATTGAGAACCTGGCTGTGTTCACAGTTCTAGAGCAGTTAGTATTTCCGATCTGTTCTGGCGAGACTTGATAGCTGACTGCGATGCCTAGCACCCCCTGGAAGCGCCTTGCCACCTACCAAGTTCCAGCTGATCTACCTGCCTGTCCTGAGGGTGGATGCTATTGCGCATGGCTCTGGGTACCTGATGGATGTGAGTTCGAGTCAAACCCGTTTCCAAAGTTGACTGTACTAACGCGACCGCTCAGGTGGTGAACCAAACATGTGCGCTTGAGAAACCAAGCCGTGGGTTTCAAATCCCTTGATATGTCACTAACAACTTGATAGGTACATGCAAAACTTGAGATGTCACGTCACTGGATCTTCATCCACCAGAACCGTCGCTCCTGCCAAGGCTCCCGTATACTGTGCCGACGGCCAAGCGTGCGTCACTGGAGCAAAGCAGATGATTGCCTGGAACCGTACGTTCCGACTTTCCTTTGGCCAGTCAGACTGAAAAGCTAATGAGCGATGTAGAAGCCGATGGCAACAACGTCGAAGTTCCCTCTGGCGCTTCCCCGGGCTACAACCAGAAGATGGGCTGGACTCCTGGAGCCCAGAACGACATCTTCCAATGAATGAACATCGGTCGGTACATGAGCTTATGATGCAAACCATCACAGTTCATGGCGCCGGCCAATCTTCGTTTATGCCTACGTTTGTGAAGACTTGGTGTCATGGCTGATGGCAGGACGGGTCGGATCTTCTCTCAACTTATGGCTGTCGGGTTAGATGATAAGCACCATGTGGTTAATGGAATACGAGATGTATCCAAACCCAATATACATATTCGAAGGCTCTCAGGCTACTGAATACCGACAGAGAACTAGAATGACTGTTCCTATGTTGCTTCGTCGTGGAGCTAAACTCTAGGGGCACTAGTCGTCAGCGTTTCAATGGCTCTCATGTCACAGGTGACTCGACCGTACCAAATATCTGCGGCCCACGGACGGTTAGCCACGGGGAACGTGAGTCATTCCGTTCCACACGGAGGCATACCGCTCCTGTCGTACGCCCTTCATACAGGTAGCAAGGAGAGTAATGGTTAGCGGTTCCAGGTTATGGGTCTGAATCTAGTATGATGCCTGTAACTCCTATGCTAAAAACATGCCTAACAGAAGCGTTATGATGAAAAAGTTCCTATCGTGTAAAGTTCTACCTATTACCATTGCAGATACACATGGACTCGCTAACCATTACTATCCTGGACACCTGTATGTACAAGGGCGCACTGTCGAAACAATCGCGGGGGTTTGTGCGAGACGCTGCGTGCTTCTCGAAATCGGGTGGAGCGGGTAGGCCGATCAACGGATAGCTGTGCAGCTGACTCACACATATATGGGGGCATATATTCACCTGTCCAGAAGAGCTGAGCCTAGGTACGAGCTGGGAAGCCCGGAAGCGAAGGAGCACAGAGATCGAGAGCCACTGTTCAGTTGCTGATAATCATCCGCAATGCAATCAAGCGCGCAGAGTAGCGAGCAGAGTGGGAAGTCCGAAATGGATGCCGTTGGAAACAGCAAGGCGCCCGAATTTGGCCCACGAATGCTTCAGCACTTCGACTTTGACCCAAACTTTCGCAATCTGAATCAGGGTAAGGAGTACCCATTGCTTTAAGGTTCGTCAACCTAACGCATCAATCACCAGGTTCCTTCGGAGCATCCCCACGGGAGATCAGGAAGAAAATGCGCCACTACCAGGACCTTGCTGAAGCCATGCCCGACGGCTTCATCCGCTACGAGCTCCCCAAAATCTTGGATGAGTCGCGGGCGGCGGTGGCAAAGCTGCTGAATGCGCCGACGGACACCGTGGTCTTCGTGCCCAACGCGACAAACGCGATCAACGTCATCCTTCAGAATATGACCTGGAACGAGGATGGCAAGGATGAGATTCTGTACTTCGACACTGTGTACGGCGCTTGTGGCAAGACTATCGACCACATTGTCGATAAGCCACTCGGTCGGGTGTCATCGCGGGAGATAGACATCACCTATCCGTGCGAAGACGACGACGTCTTATCTGCGTTCCAGGCTGCCCTGGACAGTTGCGCAAGCGCGGGAAAGCGAGCAAAGGCGTGCGTCTTCGACACCGTGTCGAGTCTTCCCGGTGTGCGCTTCCCCTTCGAAGAGATGACCGAGGCATGCAAAGCAGCCGGCGTCCTGAGCATCATCGACGGTGCACAGGGAGTGGGGATGATCGAGCTGGACCTGAGTGGTCTGGACCCCGATTTCTTCCTGTCGAACTGCCACAAATGGCTGCACGTGCCGAGAGGCTGCGCTGTGCTCTATGTGCCGTTCAGGAACCAAAGCATGATTACGACGACGGTGCCAACCTCACACGGATACGTGTCCACGTCGCGAGTGAGGTTCAATCCCATGCCGAAGGGCGACAAGTTGGCGTTCGTCAGCAAGTTCGAGTTCGTCGGGACCATCGACACGAGCCCCTATCTTTGCGTCAAGGACGCTGTCAAATGGCGACAGGAGATCCTCGGCGGGGAGAAGGGCATCATCGATTACATACAAACCCTCGCCAAAGAGGGAGGGAAAGTTACAGCTGCTATCCTGGGCACCGAAGTGTTGAACAACAAGTCGGGGACCCTGTCGAATTGTGCAATGACTAATGTCGCTTTGCCATTAGAGACCGCAGAGGCGGTGGCCGCTCACAACTGGATGATGAGGGTGATGACCCCAGACTACAAGACTTTCATTCCTCTACGTATGGGAGATAGTCGCCTGTGGGCGCGGATCAGCGCCCAGGTGTATCTAGGGATGAGCGATTTCGAGTGGGCGGGACACGTCCTGCTCGACCTCTGCAGGAGAGTGCGAGAAGGAGAGCACGAGAAGTCTTGAAGTTAAATCTTTCTTTGACAAAGGCATCTATCGTGAATTCTCATAGGATATACCAGGAGGCACCTACTGGTTGTTGGGTTCAAAATCTGAAGTGACGAGATCGTTCGAATGGAGTCTCGCTCTGTGTTCGTTCCCATGGTACACACTCTGTATGGTGAGAACTTGGATGCCATGCAGCATGCTGCATGTCCAAGATCATCCCTCTGATACCCAACCCCAACATGCCAATCGCAAAATCATGACCAAGTCGCGGATGGGCCTTCCGGCCCTGACGGTTCCGGTAACAGTTACCCCATCAAGGTCCTAAACCTCAAAGTCTCAAGATCAACACGGCACCTCATGCAGTGCTCAACATGCGCGACACCGCTGGGCACGTAATCCTCGACACCACGCTCAAGCAAAAATCTTGCCATCGCCTCATTGCCAGCGAGCCTAGCCACACAAAGCGCATTCCTACACCGAACCCTCGCAGCTCCGCACGAGCGGTGCGCCCCGCTTGGGCACTCTCCCCAAGGACCAGACCAGCGAATATTGACATCGCAGTGCGACCTCAAGAGTAGGTCCACGACGTCGAAGCGGTTTATCCGCACCGCTAGATGCAGCGACGGCTCCCAGAAGCTCCCGGACGGAGGCGCCTCGATGAGAAATGGAGCAACCGAGACGTAGGCCCGCACGATGACTTCTATAACGGATAGGGCTCGGCACTGCCGTATGGCGGTATATAGAGCGCATGGCCGTTGCAGGAACTCGGACGCCTGGGACTGGGCGTCGAGCACAGAGCAGCGGTGTAGGAGGAGGGACCACAGCGCCTGGTTCACACGGGATAGGCGGAAGATGTCGCCGGTGGATAGGTTTGCGTGGGTTATGTGCCACCAGGCGTCGATGCTGAGTTGGCATGAAGTGGGTGGACTGTATTTGCGGCGTGAGTCGTACACTACATCGTTGGACGACGGAGTTGCGCCGGTTTCGGAATTTTGCTCATTGGCCATATCGATCTTGTTCGCTGCGAGATATAGGATATAACTGCAATAGCGTCATAGCTGTTCATGTTTGTGTGGCCTTCTCGATGTATATATGATGAAGGCCAACGCAAGGGGCCTCCATTCACAACTCCGCTTGAGCGGTGAGTAGGTATGCGTGATTCACCGTGTCACCATTCTCCGCAGCCGTTCACTGGTGACACGACTGGTTGATTGGATGAATTTGGGAGTACGAGTGCACGTTTTGGCCTGATCCCAGGTAGCCGAGTTTGTTCTTCATTACCGAGGGCGGTGAAAAGCGCGAGGCTGGGAGGCCACTGCTATCCTGTTACCGTCGCCGATTAGTATCAACGGTCTTGGCTGTGTCTCCTACGCGGCACCTCATCTCATCATCGAGAGGGTTTGGACTTGGGGATATAACTGGTTGAATGATGCTAGTTGCGCTGTAACGGCACTGTTGCTTGTCCTGTGGCGTGGTGACCCCTGTGACCGTCAGTTGGTGACGTCTGATATGGAGTGAATGAGACCGCGATCGTGCGAGAACAGACCATTCACGTAAGCCTGGGTCCAGAAAGTGCAGACATGAAACGCGAAAGCGACTTGACATCTGCTAGCATTTGCAGGATGGTGCAATGGGCGAAACGGAAAGGAGGGAGGTCGCTTCAGAAGACAGCAAGTCGACATCACAAACGGCACGAAGTCGCATCGCAATACATTCCACTGTTCGTGCATGGCGAGCTCTCTGAAATCGTCAGATTGTCCCGTAAGTAATCATACATGATCATACAGTAGCAAGTAATAATCGTCAATCGACAGGCGACAATGACAATGCGCGATGGACCGGTACGCCTCCGCCTCCACTCATTTCGCAGCAAGCTCCTCACACTTCCCATCGCGGGAATGGAACATCAGGTTCGGGCCATCATGCGATGAGGCGAAGATGTCGTACATCTGATACTCGCCAGGCCTGTGCCTGCCAGTAGTATCCCCAACCTTGCCGCCGCCTAGCTGGCCTGCCTCTCCCGGTGCTGCTTCGAAGTCAAAGTACCAGAGTAGCTTTGCCACGACAAGACTGGCTTCCAGGTAGGCCATGGCCTTTCCAGCACATCCGCGATAGCCGATCTGGAAGGGGGTGAATGCCTGCCTCATACGACGCTGCTCGCTCTCGTCGCCCTCTATCCATCGCTCAGGCTTGAACGCGTAAGGGTCGGAGAAATATTCAGGGTTATGATGGAGTGTGTAGATGTTGACTCCGACTTGGACACCCTGCGGGATGATGTGACCGTCAATGATCAGCGGCTTGCTGCCATCGTCGTCCGCTGCCAGCTCTCGCCACAGCGTGCCATTGACCGGTGAGGATATCCGTAGAGCTTCATCGATACACGCGCGAAGGTATTGACAGCCTGAAAGCTGGGGACCACCGCGGATCTCGCTGCTGTTGGTAAATGTGGTACGAATCTCGTCCGCCAGCTTACGATAGCACTCCGGGTTGCGCGACAGGTAGAACAGCAGCGCACTTATAGCTGCAGCTGTCGTGTCACCGCCTGTACACAAAAGGTTAGTCTATCTCGATGCAATGGAGAAGCCAGGGCACCAACCAGCTGGAATTAGGAATAAACCCTCGGACCAGATATCACTCAACCGAAACTCGGGGTTGGCCTCAAGTTGATCAGCCACTTGTGCGTACAGGTCGCGCTTAGCATTGGCGCCTTGCGCCGTGCGAGTCTTGATCATGTTCTCTATCAGCTCGAAAGCCTGCTTTTGCGCGAACCATGTGAGATAATGCAGAGGGTAGGCGATGACCTTGGACTGAAGGCGCGGCCAGTGCATCAGGATGTTGTTGTGGGCGTTGCTGGCGCCGATGCCTGTGTGCAATGTGCGGTATCGCTCCTCAGTCTGCGTATTCATGGGATACCCAAAGGCGAGCAGTCCGATCACGTCCATCGTGAGACGGGAGATGCGCTCGGACATGTTGACGACATTCGACTTCTCGCTCGATTCCAGTATCTGCTTGAGGAAAATGTCGATCTGGTCGGCCATCGTGGGCTCGAATTCTCGCATGGCTCGCTCCGAGACACCAGCGCCGATCATCTTCCGCTTGGAACGATGGACCGCCTTGTCGATGACGCTGAAGACATTGATAGTGCCGGTGAAGCCCAGGGTGACGAGGTACACTCGCGCCGATTTGACGAGCCTGTCATTGTCGTAGATGTCTGCTACTCGTCAGTATGCCGCAGCACTGGCGAGTAGCTGCGAGCGTACCATGCAATGCCTTTGCCGAATTGAAGACGAGACGATTGGGGGCAATTCGCAACACCGGGCCTGCCTGGAGTCAATCGAGCGAACCCGTCAAGATGCCGCATGCCACACCGTGATCGGAACTGGCCTACCATACTTGCGGTGCCCTTGCTGCGTGACTAGGTGAAGTCGTCGGGTGCCAGCGTAGAAGCCGGCATAGCCCTCTGTGAGTCTGGCTATGAAGGGACCCGGGTAGTCTCGTAGGGGGTGGAGAAGAAGTCGATAGGCGAAGACGGCGAGCCACTTGCAATGCACATGTCAGCAGCCATGACTACTTTCCGGGTTGGCAACTTGGCACCCAATCCCGCACCGTTGCAGAAGGAGTGCTTGATAGGACGACCTACATAGGTCGCGACGACGCCGATGAAGTATTTCGACGCCAGGGACAGGAGCTCGGCGTAAGACATCATGAAGGGTCTGGCGCCGCGACGGTGGTTTCGACGAGGATTGGCGAGTGCACGTCTAGGTTCGAGGGTCGAGGCTCTGCCCATGTTCTAGGCTCAGTAAGGGGTAACTATCATGAAGGATGGACTTGACCATGTGCATTGCCGCAGTCCAAGACCGCCTGGGACTACAGTTGAGTGGGAGCTGCGACCGATTGTTCTTCCACGTAACACCGCATAAGTTCAAACCGCTTTGATCGATATATGACTCAGTCGCAAACCCTTCCCCTATTGTCTAGGTGACAAGATGCCTATAAACCCAACTGGGTACGAAGTCCCGCGAGAGGCATACGTCCTCAGACATGTAACGACACCACTGACCATCGCCCAGGAAGGCGTATTCCCATTTACGGATCCCTGTTGCGGTGCTGTCTCCTTTGCATGCTGCTCATGCTGCTTATGCTGAGACCACGCTCGCGTACACGCTCGTTGGATGAATAACACTTACCCAGTTCTGCATAAGTTGAGCGCGGATGCTCGCGCACCGATGTGCAATGCAGCAAACATCGCTACTCTTACCTCGTAGGGCACGTGTATCAGGTGCAACAAAATCAAGAGCCGTAGCTCGTAACTCGGTATCAGACGCCCCTATAGCAGCCCTCTAGTCGTCAGCGCAGAGAAATGGTGTCACTCCGGCTTCATGCAAGAGGACTTCCACGAGGGCTCGTCCGGGTCCCTTCACCCGAATGAAACGGTCACGCAACAGGGCAGCTTCCCGCTTCGGCGCTTGGACATGCGGGCAGTTAGGGGAAACCAGCAAAGCGAGCTGCCAGCCACCCAATCACGGACCCATGACTATACGTGTATCGGTCTATCATCTCACCCCCTGCTTTTTCATATGAGGGGTGATTACTACACAGACTGCAGTCTAGAAGCGAGACGGACTTTCTTACGCATACGCGATCATCTCACGGAAAAAAGGTAAGCATGCTGCATGCACCGCGGCGATATCACTGACCCCATGCTCGAGTCACACACTTTCTTCAGCGCGTTAGTGCTCGGGCGAAGGGCGTGTAATATCTGGTTTCTGGTATGCGCGCTCTTAATAGAAAGCTGGATACCAGTCCGTGCTGCTTAGTTGAGTGTAGTATAGCCCTACAGCCCTATTGGCCCACATCCTGCTCGAGTGGTTCTGTCTTCGAGATCGATTATATCCTTGAGCTGCTACTTCCTTCAAGGTCCGCCCGCGTGCTCGCAGTCGATACCAGCAGGTACTCCATGGTTGCTTTCTGCAGTGGGATGGATTCACCTCGGGTTACATCCCGATCTGGTGTAGCCACGACATGGGTCGTGGGTGACGCGGCAAGTAGCTAGACCCCAATAGGCAGCTCGTGGGAGGGAGCAGATACGTGTAGGGTCGCATGCGTGACAGTCACCGGAGCACACTGTTTGCTGCGCCAGATGGATCAGTGTCGTTCTCTTGTAACGGTGCTACACACACCTTCCTAAAAGCCAAGAGATCGATCAGACAGCCTCCAAAGCCACATTCAAGCAGCTCTGCATCATCTGGCTGTGGATGAAGACGTCTCATAGCATCGAGGCTGACCTGACTGAAGTCGTCGCAGCCTTGAATTGGATGAAATATATATAATCAGACAGGTACAAACACGTATGGTACATTCACATGTTATGTGAACAGATAAAGCCGGGGGCCTGCCACCACCCAGCAGCCTGCGAAGCCATCATCGGAACCGAGCCCGGTCTTCCGTACTGTATATTTTCGCCGTGCGAGAAGACACTCGTGCGCCTTCAGCTCTTGGTGCGCCATGGATGCTGGCGTGCAAACTGATCCTGTTCAACCTCACTACCGTATTCGTAATCTTCCCTCGTGCTTAGCTGCGTGGTACGCACGATTGACCTATCGTGTTGGCGCACCAAATCCTTGAGATGCTCCGTCGACTCCGTATCCGAGCGCTTCATGCTTCGCAGAGGCGTTGCGTTCTCGTTCCCGTCCAGCTTCCGATACGTTTTGCTGGGGTTCGGCGATTTGGAGGAAGTCTGTGATGACAGACCACTGAGCTTGGTGGAGCTCTTCCCGCTGCCGGACTGTCTGCTGGTCCAGGACTTGAGAGAGGCCCTGATCTTGGAGACGACGCCAGTCTCGTAGATGATCTTCGGCGCTGTGGGCATGCCGATGACAATGAAGCCGCAGGTCATCTCGGCCAGCGCCCAGAGAATGACAGAAGCAACCGTGTATGTGACATCAGCGGCGTTCGAGTATTGGATCGTAGCCGTTAGTCGGAAGGCGGCCGAGACACAAGCACTATGTCGCGTGTACCGTCAGCATGCGTCCCCATTGGCCCATTGGGCACCACTTAGAAGACCACTCACAGTACACCCAATGAGAAGATGACCGAAACGCCGAGCTTCTGTCTCACGGACATTTGCAGCTCCCAGATGACCTTTTGCGGGAGTGACAGGATGACCAGATCCGACGCAAGATGAATGGCCGCCGAAGTGATTTCCACCCTGGACTTGACCAGACACGTCCCTGGAAGAGTGAAATCCCAAATCTTCTGGATTGGGATGCAGGTGAAGCACAATGCGAAGACCGAGGCGACGCAGAACGAGAGCTGGATGGCCACGAGGGTGATGCAGAGCCACCAGAATATGTTGCGAGTGCCGACGGGAACGAAGATGCGAGTCCACTCCAACAGAATCGCCGCTTTCAGGAACGGCAGAGCGATAGAGTAGAGAACGCCGCCGACGAGGAGAATCTACACCTGATCAGCTGCCCTGGTCAACTGCGGCGCCCAGTCGCATTGATGACTTACATAAGAGAAGTCGATCAGTCTGGCCAACCTGATATCCCACTGATGTATGAAGTATCCATACTCAACCATGACGCGATAGGCGCAGTAGATGTAGCCTATGTAGGCACCCTAAGAGGGTATTGTCAGTCGTAGTTTTCAATATTCTCGCAAGACCCGAGACGTACATATGCAACGAAGGTCAAGACTGCAGTTGTCGACGACTGCGTCAGCAGATTTACAGACAGTCATTCATCGATCGGGGCACATACTGTCCTCGAACTTGATCTTTCTTAGACCTATCACTCTCGCATACATGCGAATGAAGAAGCTGAAAGTTGCCAGAGTCAAGCACACGGCCAAGGCAGCGTGCGCCACGCCATTCTTGTTGGGCGGGTTGTCGAAGTTGGAAGTGAGATTCCCGGGCGGCGCGAGGGCAGGACCAGCCAGTAAAAGCTGCTGCGTTTCCTTGGGAAGATAGGGAAACTGATCCATCGCGACCTTTAGATGTCGATTTGGTGGAACGGCGCTTGAGAAGACAAAGAAGATGGGTCGAGAGGGGCCCTTTTGCTTTTCTATATCACGTACCTACTCTTATCATCCCGGGGAAGGAGGCCGGGAAGCAGGGGTCCTGTACCTGAAGACTGGCTGGACTCGATCTCCTAAGCGTGGTAGTGTTCAATACTACCCCTGGCCGTGCGAAACCAGGTCATTCTCATTCTGTACAGAGTGTCCGGGAAAATTATGCAACGTGGACGGCTCAGACTTACCCTCTGAGGCGGTCGTGACTTATCACCAGCCGGCCCACCATGCAGAACGGCATACAGTCCCACCTCTACGCAGTACGACTGCGACCTGCCCTGTGTGAATGGACGCGGCAGCGTGCAGGAACGCGGTTTCGACACTCGTCGAGTATGGGTGCACGAATGAGATCTCTTTATCCGATCGGTCGCGCTGATCATGACTGGACCCTGAATACATGCCGCACTGCTAGCCGAGACGCGTAGAACGTCGAAGGTAACCCCTCTATCTCTGGAAAGCATCAGAGAGGCGGAATAATGCACGAGGGTGGGAAATATTTTAAAAGGGGCATCCTGCCTTTCTAGGATAGGGAACCCCCTGTCTTACTTTGCACATCGTATGTTCCGACCCCGCCAATGCTGACAGCACGCAATAATCAGAGAACCAACGATTGCTTCCAGAGCGACACTCATCAAGGCCCTGGAGATCTAGCTGCTACTTACCGCCGGATCGGCATGCCCAACCACCTCTTCAGTCTGTGCACACATTGAAGAGATTCATATGCCACCAGTTTAAGTACCCCCGACTCTCCGAGCGTACCACTGTAGTAGTCCTGACGTGCCGATGTATTACAGGTCGCGGATAAATGCCCTGAACAGTCTGGTATGGCTTCTTGGATCATTCAGAACTTCAGATGAGTTTTGTTGTTCCTTCGTTGCCTCTCTTGATCCTACATTCTCCATTCTGGAGCCATGCAGTCATGGTAGCGAGCGCAGCGGTGCCTGACTGTGCCGTGGGCCTGCATGTGCATGTGTCTTCCTGTGCCACATCCCGGACGGCCGCGACCATTGGCCTCGCTTGACAACTGCGCCGTTTCGTCACATTTATCCATCACTGCGGCCGCACGGCACAGGCGGACCCCCATTCTGCACCACTGACCGAGGCGGGCCAGGGTCACACCGATGCAACGCAGGCCACGGACGTGACATGTACAAAAGGCCGCCCGCGACCTCCCTTTTGCCGACTCATGCCGAGGATCACCGGTTGCTCCCAATGTTTAATGTATACCCCGACGGCAGTTGTGCGTTGCACGACATCGCCATATCTGAGATCCCGTTCTATCCTGACGCATGGTCGAGGGCTTCGTGGTGACGCGGGACAAAAGACGAGGGGCTGCTTCATCAACAGTGCCCTTGTAGAGCAAGGTATCATCACTGCAAGTACTTGTTTTTCACTATTTGTCAACTGAGGAGCAGATATACTGGATCAGATTCAACGACTGGGGTTCAGTGTCTTGTAAGAAGCTACCTATTGTCTTAGGCGGCCTCCACGTGCAGCGATTACACATTGTCTCATAGCATTGCTTTACAGGATCGTCCTTGAAGATGCAAGCCTGTGTTCTCTGATGGTAAGGGGGACATCACTCATGATCCTTTGCGTTCTCGATAGTATGCTCGATAGCCCGGAGTGAGCCAGCCAAGCCCTCGTCGGACTTCGACCCGGGAACGTTATGACCCAACTCGTGAACAAACACCTCTCTCAGGCCCTCTTCGCACAGCCGAGACAGTGACTGGGCGTGTTTCGAATTGACATCACCAGCCTTGGACCAGATGTGCGCCGTCGGGATCTTGATCAACACGCCATCCGTGGCCGGGTCGACGGCTCTCACAATCCCGTCCCGAATCACCTCTGGGTCGAAAGGTACGGCGGCGCTGAAGAAGATGGCGCATTTTAATGCACCAAAGGTGTGAGGATGTCTCGCATTCTCGAGCAGCATCCATGCCGCCACGGCTCCGCCCTCCGAGAAGCCCATCAAGCCATCGAAGGGGCCTTGAGCTTTGACGACATCCATGAGGTCGTCGTAGAGTTCACGATACTGGCTCACACTGTCCCCCACATAGCCAAAATACTCATCGGTAACGGTGGCGGCGCCTATCCACAATCAGCGTTTGTCTCACAATTCATGGACTGCTGTTTGACGACGCACCGACGTCAGGGTCGGCTGGGACAGTCCCATTGACGAAGACAAAGTCGTGATCCCGTCCGAGAGCTTGTCGGATTCTCGCTAGGAGACAATGAGCACACGTCTACAGTACCGTTCGGGGACTCGCCTACCTGTTTGCATCTCAAAGATCTATCAATGACCTCGCGTTAGCGGATGTCATCTATGGTCATCGGGGCCGCGTAAGTCCGTAAGGGCCCACCTTCGCGCTCGTTCCTCTCCCTACATATCTACAGGTCAGTATTTATCCCGTTCGACGGACCTCGGCAGCTGTTCGGAGCTATGGGGCTTGTCTCATGGACCAGCTATACCCAAACCCGATAGACAGGAAGAGCCATGCGAGACGAAGGAGCACATACCATGTAGGCAGAGAAATCGCATCTTGACGGTCTAGTTGATATGTGGAGGTTTGTGCCCCTTCAGAGACTGCGTTCGTGTAGTTCGGTGATGCAGGTGGTTGTTGAGAATGGGGTTGCGGAGCTGAGAGACTCGGGTGTCGAACCGTGTGAGTTAGGTTATATCTCCGTATGCAAGCAGTTTACCGAACAGAGGTTCAGCAAACATCGTGTTCCATGTTTCAAACTTCAGATGGCCATGACCGAGCTGTCGGTAACAAACAAGGGCGGTCAAGGGTCTAGCCCGACAATGTGCTGTATAGGACTCCGATCGCGCTGAATCCAAGAACCCTCGTCCAGGACTTGGCGTACCCGACCCCACGGCAATGAGAAGGATCAGTCATAGTCACCTACCGGTTGCGGCATGAAGCTGACGGGCCACTGCGGGATCTGATGTTGCACTAACGTACAAAGGAGGGTCTTCTCCCGCTCAAGTTGTCTACTCCATACACAAGCTAGGCTAGCAGCAAGCAAGCGGCCGGGCAGCAAACTATCCAGTGCTCTCATCGATGACTACTAGCGACGTTTGGACGCATGAGCAAGATACTCATTCCAGTAGCATGTCCTCGGGATGCTAATAAACGCTGGGGTGGGTATAACAAAATTCACTAGCTGCCCCTCACATGCTGACATGATACATGGGTATTCCTCCTAGTCAGGGACGGGAGGTTTCCTGACCAACGAATCGAGAATCACGATATAAAACCATGTATTCGGACGACATACGTATTTCTGCCTGACTGGCCTGAAGGATCGGTGCCCGGAACATTCTCGTTCTCGGATTCATCCCTTACGTGGACAAAGCCCTCGAGCTGTAGTAATCCGGTCGCCCTCTCCAGTGAATCGCTCGCTGACGCGCCAGTAAGTGTTCGCAATGACGGTGTAGGACGGCGTTGGATACTGTCTGCCGGCCGACCGCCGGTATGGGAGCCTAGAACGCCGTTGGCCACCTTGGGACGCAAGGAGTCCTATGACACAGTTGCCACCTTTGCCGCTTGATTCTGCCCAGCCTTTGATGTCAGCATGGTCAGCACTGTATTCACCATCGGATTGATGGGCTGTATATCTACCGCTGAGATTCACCAGTTCTGTTCTAGCAATCCTTAAGTCGCAGTCCGTGATCCCGAGACCTGCCGTGCGGTATGTGTGAGGTACAATAACAGCGTGGCTTTCTAGTGATTCGTCGACGACACTTCTTCTACGGTGAGTTCATCGTGCCGACGTATAGAAAACCGACTGGCCCGACTGGTTGTCCTACCCTCAAGCCTCTCTTCTTCGGTAAGACATCTCAGCGCTATCATACATGTGGCCTGCCCTCTTGGTGATATCTTAGACTTGCTGACCACGCGGTAGAAGCCTGAATCCTCTTCCCAAAAGCAACCTTCCTGAAGCAGGCTTCCGGAAGTAACCCAGATTATGGAGGACACAGCCATCGTTGGGTTCTCCTTCAAGCTCCCTGAAGATATCGAGGATGTCTCGAGCTTCTGGGAGACTCTTCAGAATCGGAGGAACCTGATGCGGGAATGGCCCAAGTCACGCATGAACGTTGACGCTTTCTGCAATCAAGAACTGAACAAACGCAACAAGGTGCGTCGGGAGCCCAACAATGCTGTGAGAACTACTCTGACATTTGAAAAGCTTCACACTCGAGGAGGGTACTTCATAAATGAAGACCCGGGAGCTTTTGATGCCCCCTTTTTCTCAGTCACAGCAGCCGAAGCGGCGTCCATGGATCCAATGCAGAGATGGACGCTGGAAACCTCGTACCGTGCTTTCGAGAACGGTAAGCACATTAAATATCACTGCATACCAGAAACTCTAATGCTCCTATAGCGGGAATGTCAATCGAAGAACTAAAGGGTGAACACATGGCGGTATTCAGTGCCTCGATGACAGACGATTACTCGCGGTTGACGGCCAAAGACCCCGAAAACGCACCCCGGACGGCAATAACGGGAACTTTTGCTTCCATTCTACCCAACCGAGTCAGCTGGTTCTTCGATCTCCATGGTCCGAGTGTCCATGTCGATACTGCTTGTTCCAGCAGTCTGTTGGCTATGGACCTTGCTTGTCAGTCTCTGAGAAGTGGCGATGCATCATCGGTAAGAAAAATATGCGTCATCATGGGCTTGTATTCCTACAGAGCTTAGCTAATCATCTTGAAGGCTCTGGTGACTGGCTCCAATCTGATCCTTGGACCGGATGGCTTCCTGTTATTATCGAACATGGGTTTCCTATCACCGGACAGCAAGTGCTACAGCTTTGATCATCGTGCCAACGGGTACGCCAGAGGCGAAGGTGTAATTGCCCTTGTCTTGAAGCCTGTAGCCGACGCCATACGAGATGGTGACATGATTCGAGCAGTCATTCGCTCAGCTGGATCAAATCAAGAGTTCGTGTTTCTGCATTTTCACGTCCTCATCCTGAACCATCAGTCCAGCCTCTGAAGAAAAGCACCAACTGACTGACTGGCTATCTTAGTGGTCACACACCCGGGCTCAATCAACCTAGCCCCGAGGCGCAAGAGAGATTGATACGGCACGTGTATAAGAAAGCGAATCTTCCCTTCGAAGCAACCCGTTATGTGGAAGCTCATGGTAAGCATCATGCTAATACGGCTTGAACTGCACACTCACCAAGAGACGTAGGGACTGGAACGCCGGTTGGTGATCCAATCGAAATGAAGGCCATCGGGAGGGTTTTCAGATCTTGTCGGTCAAAGGAAGAGCCCCTATATGTGTAAGTCCTTCCCGGAAGTCCCCGCTTCGTCCACAGCTATCCAGGATGGAGTACTTTCTCTGATAGAATCCATCATGACCCGCCACGGCCAGCTTCAGACTTTCCCTGGTCCTTATCGTGGGCCCGGTTCTAGCTGACAAGTTGACAGTGGCTCGCTGAAAGCAAACATCGGTCACACTGAAGGAACCAGTGGTCTGGCCGGGATCATGAAATCCATAAGTAAGTTCCTCTCGGCCCTCACAGGACTGCTCACCTGCTCACTCAGACTTGGCAGTGATACTCGAGAAGGGCAAAATCCCACCAAACGCGTTGTTCGAGAAGATCAACCCTGACATCGACGTGGAATTCTACCACACTGCGGTACGCGCCGGGATTATGCAGAATGGGTGAGCAACCTGCTGACAGAACTAGATTCCAACTGAGAACATCGTCTGGCCCAGTGAAGGCGTACGCCGGGTGTCGGTCAATTCTTTCGGTTTCGGAGGAGCCAATACGCATGTCATTTTGGACGATGCCTACCATTACCTTGCTGAGCGAGGTCATATCGGAAATCATTGCACCGTCCCGAGTGCCGCTACCAATCTTTTGATCAGCTCCGATGGAGATACTCACATTAACGGAACTTCACATCCTGACCACCGCCTCGTATCGACCAACGGGACCAACGACACGAATGGAACCAACAAGAATCACAAGGGGACCAACGGAACGAATGGGACCAATGGCACGAACGGCACGCACGGCATGAACGGTACCAATGGCACCAACGGCACCAACGGCACCAACGGCACCAACGGCACCAACGGAGGCAATCATATGAGCGGAAAGGGGCTCAACGAAACTCACCACTTCAAGAACAAAGCCCGGCTGCTCGTTTGGAGCGCAGCCGACGAGAAGGCGCTCGAACGCACGATGAGGGGTTACGAACCTTTCTACAACACCCAGGTCGCAAACAACCCAGCCAAGCTCTCGCAGATGGCCTATACCCTCGCCGCAAGACGAAGCCACATGCTCTGGCGGACCTTCGCTGTTGTGCATGGCGAGCATGAAAGCCCAGAAGTTGGACTCTCCGTGGCGAAACCAACACGAACATCAGCTGAAGTTGGGCTCGCCTTCGTCTTCACGGGCCAAGGTGCCCAATATGTCGATATGGGGGTGGAGCTTCTGCAGTACCCCGTCTTTGAGGCCACTCTACAGCAGATAGATGAGGTATATGGCAGCTTGGGGTGTGAATGGTCGATATTCGGTAACAAAAGAGAGACCGTCGAGACGAGTGGCTGCTAATGATGGCGTAGATGAGCTCAGCAACCCCGTCAACATCGACAAGCCCGAATATAGTCAGCCTTTATCGACAGCTCTCCAGATAGCTTTGGTTGAGCTGTTGAAGACTTTCGGGGCATCCCCCAAGGCCGTCATCGGACATAGTTCCGGCGAGATCGCTGCCGCGTGAGCATCCAACTCTATGAACTCAACACGACAAGTTGCTGATTCTTTACCAAACAGGTACACCATTGGGGCCCTATCGCTACACTCAGCTTGCAAAGTCTCGTATTTCCGCGGCCAGCTGGCAGGCCGGCTTCGGGCCAAGGCCTCATCAGCAGGCGCCATGATGTCCGTCAATCTCGCCGAGGAGCGAGTGTGGAGCTACCTCAAACGCATGAACGTCGAAAGTCTTACAGATTCCATCAATGTGGCCTGTATCAACAGCCCGCTGAATTGTACGCTTTCTGGCACAGAGTCCGCCGTCGATGCCGTCAAGGAACAACTTGACAAGGACGGCATCTTTGCGCAGAAGCTCAAAACCGGGGTCGCGTATCACTCACCCTTCATGTCAATCATCGCCGGCGAGTATTTGTCAACCATGGGATCTCTTGGCCCAAGCAAGTCCAAAAGCGTTGGAGCCTCAATACCGATGGTTTCATCGGTGACAGGCCGGGCCGTTCGCCCATCCCTGTTGTCAAAAGCCCAATATTGGGTCGAAAACATGGTTTCCCCGGTCAGATTCGCTGATGCATTGCAGATCCTCACTCAGGGCTCTGCAACCTTGAAGGTTGGCTTGGGAAGCATTACAGATCTTGTCGAGGTCGGCTCGCACTGTGCGTTGCGCCGGCCCATCCAAGACACGGTCGGCCAGGCTGGAAATCGAAAGAAGCAGATCCGTTACTCGTCGGTGCTGTACCGGTCCAAGTCGGCGGTCCAGACGACGTTGGAGACCCTGGGACGTCTGTTTTGCCATGGTCACGCCGTGTCCATCCCCGGGGCCAACCAGCAGTCAGCTGGCAAAAAGCCCGCATTTCTTGTCGACTGCCCTGCATATCCCTTTGACCATTCCCACACCTACTGGGCTGAGTCACGCCTCAATCGGGACTTCAGACTTCGTGAACCTGTTTCTGGAGACACCTTGGGTTCGCGGTTCTACGACTGGAACCCCCTCGAGCCGAGATGGAGGAACTTCTGGAGCGTGGAGACGACCCCATGGGTGGGAGACCATGTTGTAGGTCATGAAGCACAATCCGCCCGTCCCAGGAGTGTTACTAATCCCAGTGAAGGTCAGCGACACCATCATATACCCAGCAGCAGGTATGCTCGTGATGGCAATGGAAGCGGTGCAGCAGATGGCCACCGCCAACCGCGAAATATCAGGCTACTATATCAAAGAAGCCCACTTCCTGAGCCCGATCGTCGTGAAAGAGGCATGGGACAGCCGGACCGAAACTCTCCTGCATCTTCTGCCGGTTCAAAAGCCATACGAGAAAGAGTCAGTCTGGTCGGACATCAAGATATTCGCCCGCTATGACGACCGATGGACCGAGTGTTTCCGAGCCAGCATTCAAATCCAGTACCAGGAGTCTGGCATCCACGTCGACGGCGGCTTGGAGAAACGGTTGACAGGCGAGCGCATTTTGCGCCAATATCGGCGCGCGAGCGAGGTCTGCACGAGGGCCATTGACTCAGCAGAATTCTACAAGGACTCAGCAGACCATGGAATCAAGTACGGGGAGTGGTTCCAGCTGCTGCAAGACATCCGATATGATGGCAAGTTCAGCGTCATTGCCCACGTCGACGTATCCACGCAGAAGCACCGGACGGCCAGTCTCGTCCATCCTGCTGTCTTGGACGCAGCATTCCATGCGCTCCGGGTCGGCACCACCAAAGGCTTGACTGCATCGTCGGCTACCCATGTGCCCATGAAGCTTTTCGATGCTTGGTTCTCGGCCTCAGGCTGGCAACAGCCACATACCTCGTCGATTACATATATGACAATCGCGGGTGGTGAGGCTGGTCAAGAAGGCAAGGAGGGAACCATCTATGCCCTGGCCGACGACTTATCGCCACTGTGTACGATGCGCAGACTGGTCACTGCACAGGTCGCAAAGGAGGACGAAGGTGAGGACGCCAAGAGCTTATTGTACGGGGTAGAGTGGAAGCCTCAATTGAGTCTTTTGGGTCGAGAGCAGCTCCCACGGGCATGCGGCGCTGATACATTCGTCAAGGATGAGACCACGATGATCGCCTATCACCAGAAGTTGAACTTCATGCTGAACACAGTCGTATGCAGAACGTTGAGACAGCTTTCTGAAGTCGACCGCCGAAAAATTTCAAGCTCTCTGCGCAGACAGGTGACGTGGATGGAGCACCATGCCCAACAGCTCTCTGCCTCAGACATGGACGACAATATCAGCGACGCGGACCTCGAAACCCTACTGGAAGAGATCGAGACCATCAATCCACCGTGGAGGTTGTTTACTGCCGTCGTGCGTCAACTGCGACCTATCCTCGTTGGCGAGATTGATCCTCTTTCTGTCATCTTCAATTCGAACCTGGCCGAAGTCTTCTACGCCGATATGTTCATGAGCATATGCGACCACAGACTCCAGAGTATTCTCGACCTAGCATCCCACGAGAATTCAAAGCTGCGTATCCTGGAGGTGGGAGCAGGTACCGGTGGTATGACTTCGCACGTGCTGGCAGCACTACAGCAGCTCGAGAGTCAGAGTGGTGGCCTCAAATTCTCCAACTACACGTACACAGACATTTCCCCGACCTTTTTCGAAAGTGCTGGTAACCGATGGCAGGACCTGGGAGAGAGGATGACTTTCAAGACTTTCAACATGGAGCGCAGCGCCGAAGACCAGGGATTCGAATCGGGATCATACGATCTGGTTGTTGCCGGAAGTGTGCTGCATGCCACTACCGATCTAGCGGCTACGATTCGGAACGTGCGCAAGACGTTGAAACCGGGTGGGAAGCTGATCCTCCTTGAAGCTGTTGCACCTGAGAAAGTCATCACCAACTTTGCGTTCGGCTTGGCTCCAGGTTGGTGGAACTGCATGGAGGATTGGAGAGACATGTCGCCGGCTATCGTCGAGGAGCAATGGGACGTGTGCTTGGAGGCAAATGGCTTCTCTGGAAATGATATCTGCCTCCGGGATTATGAAAATGATTCATGCCACATCTTCAGCATTATCATGACCACAGCTGAAGCCGAAGAGCAAGCTTCCGTTGCGGCTGTCAGACCTGGCATATTCCTGGTCATCGATGAATTGTCGGAAACTCAGGTTAAATTGGCCGGGTCAATCTGCACTGCCATTGGCGAATGCGACAGTCGACAGGTTGTCACCCTTTCTTTGAAGTGTGTTCAAGGTGTTGCTCTGTCCGGCGACGATGTTGTCGTCTTTCTCTTGGAGACGGAAAACCCCTTCCTTGCCACAGTATCTGAGGAAGGCTTCAAGTCGATCCAGGATTTGCTTCATCGTACGACCAACCTGCTCTGGGTCACTCAAGCGAGTATGGATGACACGGTATACGCGTCTTACGGAGTGGTCCAGGGGTTCCTAAGGTCCATACGAACCGAGGCAGCCGAGAAGCATTTCGTAACGCTTGCAATCGAATCGCAGGGTGAGGATAGACCGACCCAGGCGCAGTACGTCGCCAAGGTCGTTGCGGCAGCCTTCGAATCGCCATCTCATGAGGTAGAGTATGTTGTCCGGGAAGGCCAGATCACCACGGGCAGAGCCTTTCAGGAGATCTCCTTGAACGAAACAATGCAGTCCTTCCTCCAACCACAGCTCAAGCTCAATGCTTTCCTGCCCGACTCAGGACCAGCGCTGCAGCTTACTGTGGGCACCCCTGGAATGCTAGACACACTGCAGTTCGTAGAGGACGCCAGACATGAAACAGAACTCGGTCCGCTCGAGGTGGAGATCGAGGCCAAGGCATGGGGTCTCAATTTCCGAGATGTGTATGTTGCCCTGGGCCGCCTGGATGACGGCGCCCTTGGAGGAGACTGCGCCGGCATTGTGACGAGACTAGGACCCGACTGTGATTCCGCTCTGCAGCCAGGAGACCGTGTGTGCATGGTCTCGCCAGGCTGTATGCGAACATACCCACGTGCCCTTCAAACATCTGTCCTCAAGATCCCTGACTCTCTCGGCTATGAGGCGGCTGCCTCGATCGTCGTTCCTGGCATCACTGCCTCCTACTCGCTCCTCGACCTAGCCCGTCTTCGGAAGGGGGACAAAATCCTCATCCACGCAGCAGCTGGCAGCACTGGCCAGATGGCCATGTGGGTCGCCAAGATCCAGGGAGCCGAGATCTTCGCGACTGTCGGCTTCGACGAGAAGAAGCACTTCCTCATAGAGCAGTTTGGTATCCCTGAGGATCACATCTTTTATAGCCGAAATACCTCATTCGCCCAGGGCATTATGCGAGTAACGAACGGTCACGGCGTGGACGTGGTGCTGAACTCGCTTTCCGGCGATGGATTGCGGGCTTCGTGGGAGTGTGTTGCACCGTACGGGCGCTTCGTCGAGATTGGCAAGGCGGACATCTTGGCCAACACGTCATTGCCTATGGCCAGCTTTGCGAAGAATGTCAGCTTCTCGGCCTTTGATTTGGTCCACTTGTCGCAATCGAGCCCGGATCTTACGGCCAGGCTTCTGAAAAGCGCGGTCGAACTCCTCGACAAGGGTGCAGAGCTTCCTAGCCCATTGCACGTGTACCCTGTTTCGAAAGTTGAGCAGGCATTTAGATTCCTCCAGAGTGGCAAGAACATCGGAAGGGTCGTTATTGGCATAGATCGCTCTGATGTTGTGCCGGTAAGCTTCAGACTTGACATGAATCCCTAATAGACATCAACTGACTCGTATCTTAGCAACGCATTCTGCAAAAACTACCGTGGAGATTCGATGCGAATGCGTCATATCTGATTGCTGGCGGGCTTGGAGGCTTAGGTAGGGCTATCATGAAATGGATGGCTGATCGAGGAGTCAAGCATTTGATCGTGCCCTCGCGATCAGGTCCTACGTCTCAAATGGCAAAGGACGTCATCTCTGAGCTGACCGAGCGAGGCATTGAAGTCTGGGCGCCCAAGTGTGATGTGTCCTCGGGTTCATCGCTGGCTGCTATGCTTGAGGACTGCTCCCATAAGATGCCGCCTGTCAAGGGATGCATCAATGCTGCCATGGTCCTCCAAGACGCCGTGTTTCAGAACATGAAGCATTCACAGTGGGCGCTCACCATCAACTCCAAGGTGCAATCGTCTTGGAACTTGCATCGTCTCCTGCCCAAGGACCTTGACTTCTTCGTCCTGCTTTCTTCCCTGGCAGGGGTCTGCGGAACCGTGGCACAATCCAACTATGCCGGAGGTTGCTCTTCTCAGGATGCCCTGGCGCGCTATCGTGTGTCGAATGGGCAGAAAGCGGTCTCATTTGACGTGGGGTGGATGAGGAACATTGGCATCATTGCGGAGAAGGAGTCTTACCAGCGCAACAGGAAGCAGGCTGCAGATATGCAGCAAATCGACGATACGGAGCTGATGACTTTGCTGAGCATGTATTGCGATCCTGCGCTGCCGATTCTATCGGCTCCAAAGAGCCAAGTCCTGATCGGTCTTTTGACGCCAGCCGACTTTCTTATTCAGGGTCAGACACCCCCGCAGATGCATGATCGTCCTCTGTTTGCGTCCTTCTCGCACATAGAGGGTGAAGTGACGCACGGCAGCGCGGGCCATGCGGCGGAAGACCCAGCAGCACTCTTCAGACTATCCACGGAGACAGATGTGAGGATCCAGATCGTGATCCGGGCGTTGGCCGTCAAGCTGGCCCGGGCTATGTCAATCTCTCCAGACGACGTGGAGCCCAACAAGCCGCTGTCCGGTTATGGAGTAGATTCTCTGATGGCAGTCGAGCTTCGAAATTACATCGGCAGGGAGTTCCAGGCCAAGGTGGCCGTGTTTGATATCATGGGCGGCGTGCCTATTGCGACCATCGGGGACTTGGTGGTAGAGAGAAGCAGTGTGGGGAAGAACAAGGAGGCGGTGGAAACCGCTCATCGTGAGTAATCTTGGGTTTTATGGATGGTGCGACTGGAGGGCGGCCCATACTGAGACGGATGAATGGCTCTCGGAGGCAGTCATGTACCCAGATAGTTAAGCGAGAATGATGAAGAAAAACAGATTCCTTGGATCTCCTTGGTAAACGAGTACGGTCAGTAGACGCTGCGACATTGACTCTGCGGTGCCACGACCACCCAGCCACAGCAACAGCCAATAGCGCTTCCCGAAGATGGGTCACATGCGCGGAACTAGACGTCTACCGTTCCCCGGCGCTAGGCCGAACATGTCCGGCGATCCACTTCCTCATTCTGACGGTACTGTTAATTTGACGACAGCGCTTTGATGCTCCTCGTCTCTGCCACTTCACATCAGAATTTGCCTTGTCGTTACCTCCGTTCACATCACATTGGTCACCCAACCTCCATCAATCGACTCGGTAGCTACTATGAGTCGCTTTCCTCAGTTTCCCAAACTCCCGGCAGAGGTCCGTGGTCCGTGACCTCATATGGGACGAAGCCTTGATCTCCGAGGCACGCAACAGATTCATACCTTTCGACACCCACTATGAATACCCCGTTCCTCATCTTCATCTCATCTCCTCCGTAATGTCCACTAGTTATGAGGCTCGCCAGCGAGCCAAGAAGTTCTACGGCCTGACCATTCGCGTCGAGACAAACTTCATCATGTTCGCACCCCACGACGGTCAAGACAGCCCTGGTTTTTATATATCTGGCGCGGCAATGTCAATACGATGACTATTCGAGTGATGATAGTGAAGGGGAATACATCAATTATACACTTGGTGTTATGTACCTCAACACACAGCATGACACCTTCGTCCCAGACATAGGTTGGATACATTTTCTCCTCGAACATGAGCCCGGGCAGACGATTGAGATTCCCCACGTTACCTTCGATCTTGAAGAACAGCAATGGAACCGGTTCCGCAGTATCCTGACAGTGTGTTTCGAATGCGAGCATTACCCGGGCTCCCCACCGATGCGTTATTCTGAAAGGAAGGCCATGGATTTTTGGCAGAAACCTCGGTTTCCCGCTCTGCAAGAGTTTCTCCACTCCTGGAAAGTGGCGTCAAGCCCGCGTCAGTTCTTTTTCGATATGGTGACTTTGAATCCGATCGAGTTCCAGCGCTTGTACGAAATCAGAGAGTGGCTTTGGGCTGATGGACTGGGTGACGACGAGCCCCGTGAAGACAGGCTCGTTGAACGACAACTAGTGCATCCTGACGAATACTTGGCTCGAAGGAGAAAGCTGCGGCAATAAAGCACGGGGATTTGGATAAAAGAAGCCCACAGCGTCGCCGCCAGAGCACGAGACGGCGGCCCTTTGAAGTCCCTATGTATTGCACGCACTAGGAGTCTTCGCTGCCGTGCTTCGTTCTTGGCTACCATGCTTGGCAACTAGTCAATATATCGCTATCTTATGTGTCAGACTCAGATGAAGGATGAGGACTCACACAACAACGTGGAAACGAGTGTAGAAGAGAAGGAAGTTGCAGCTTGGTGCCTGGGAGTGCCGAGAGACGAACCCCACGTAGATTTTATGGCTAATAGGGTAGCTTCCATGAGGAAGACTTGGGGTCTGCAGAGATAGGCTAAAGGGACTTCGGTAGCGTGGGAACCGTTTCTACAGATGTCTGGTACCACATACCGTGCAGCATTGATATCGTGGATGTCTGCTTGGACATTACAGCAAACTTGAATCGCATCAAAGCTGGCGCGTTGACAGCTTCCAAGTTTGTTGGTCCCTACAAGTCACCTAGCTACTCCGTGTGCTTGGAAAGACTTGAATTTGATAGATCTCCTCAACCTAAACCGCCTTGGAGATTTTGGCTGTCTTGTCTGTAGTGATGTTGGTCTATTGAAAGTACAGGTGACCGTTTTAAGTGTATATCAACACCATGATAACTGATGAGAAACTGAAACGGTTGGGAGTTGGACCTCCAGTAGATAAAGCACGGCTCTTACATTGCATCTTGGCCCGATCACAGATCAGAGTGTTGAATCATTTTGTGCACTGGTGCCTCACCTGTTGTCGCCTGAGGGTGTAACCATCTGCCCATCTGTGTCAAGAGGCCGCGATGGCCCCTTAGCGACCAGAGCTTAGCGGCAAAAGGGGGGGGATTCCCACTAGCGTATCTACCTCCCTTTCGCCCACGGCAATCACAAATCACAGGTCTGGTTCCGAGATTCATACCTGAGGCGAAAGATAAATGAACAGGTTCGTACCTCAGAAAAAGTGTGTATGATAGTCAACCAGCCGAGGCCACTTGCACGTTTTGGGAAGAGTAAAAAACATTACTTTCTTTCACTTGCCCACACCGTTTCGTCAATCTGTGCATACCTCCAACCCCAACACTCTTTGGCATCGCCACTTCCTGGGTAGTCAGACCTCGTCTGTCCTCTAGGAACCATGCCGTTCATCACGGAAGCATACAGAATGCAAGACGAATCCTCTCGCGCGGAGATGGCTTCTCACGCCGATACATCTTCTTGCGACGATGCTTCTTCTTGCGACGATGCTTCTTCTTGCGACGATGCTTCTTCTTGCGACGATGCTTCTTCTTGCGCCGTCACTTCCTCTGGCGCCGTCACTTCCTCTGGCGCCGCCACTTCCTCTGGCACCGTCACTTCCTCTGGCACCGTCACTTCCTCTGGGGCTGACAGTTCTCGTGCAGTCACTCTCTCTGGCACTGACAACCCTTCTTCCGCCAACACTTCTGACGACCAGCTTCTTCCTGTTGACGTCCTGTGGCTCTCTGGCAAGCATCATCTTGTTGATCCCCTGGACGTATATGCCTTGGCACAAGCGGACAGACGCTTGGTGAGTAGTATCAACCATTACCCATGAGTTCAGTTCAAAGTCGGGTTATGGTGCATTTGCTTCAAACAAGACATGCTCTGCATGCTTCACAGCACCCGTACTACGACAGAAAATCCATGGGTTCCTTCTACTGAATACATTACTGACCCTGGCTGATGTAGTGGAATGCTCTGAAGCACGAGATCGCCATCGCTGACATCTTGTGGGCCAAGGCTAACGAAACCACACACCATGAACATGGCGTCAATGGTCTTAAAGTCGAAGAGGACCATCTCCTCGAGCTGTACATGAGACGTCGCCCGTTGCCCGCAGGACTGCTGTTGCAATGGAACATTACACACGGCCGGATCGAAGAAGCTCATAGAATCATCGACGTCGCCCAGGAAATATGGCCAGGCTACCTGGACTGCAAGAACGCACGGGGACAGTCACCTATCCATTGTGCCGCTCTTGGACACCTGGCCATCGTCCGTCATCTCGCCGACGCCAGCTGTAGACCCGACGCATGGGCAATACAGGAAATCGACACTAAGGAAGACGGACGCCGAGTCCATTCTATGCAGGAGTTGACTCACCCTTTCGACCGTCTCGACAGTCGATTTCTCAACAGCGTAGATACGACTTACTACGCGAATGCTCTTGGCTTGGCGATGCTCGGTGGCCACACTGATATCATCGATTTCCTTCTTGCACGAATCGCCGAAGAACTGCGCGCGGGGCAGCATGGAGGACAAGCTACAATCACATGGCAAGGAGGTGATGATCTCCTGTGCCCTCTAACGATTGCAGTGCTGATCCAGTCTACCGATATGCTCGAAAAACTCCTGGACATGGGATTCGACCCAGACGTCACGGTGGAGCAGTTCCTGGGTGCATACCCCCTTCACTTGGCGGCGGCGAGAGTGAACAATGATCGTGCCATCAATTTGCTGGTACAGCACGGTGCGATGGTCGATTTCAGGGACCATGTAGGTCGAACGCCACTGATGTGGGCTGCACTCGGCAGTTCTCCCACCTCATGTGAGGTCCTCCTGGAGGCTGGAGCATCCCTGCTCTATCTAGACGACTACGACGCTTATCCGCTCGACTTCATGCTTTCAGACGAACGCCTCTTCGAAGTGGCCAAACCCTATTTGGACTTTTTGTTCTCAAAGATCCACATGCGCGACTTGGTCAATGTGCTCTTCAAGGCAGTACTCTACGCACCGCAGAGTTCTTTCCCGGCAATCAAGTACATGATCGCGAACGGAGTAAGACTAGACTGGAGATTTGAATGGGTGCAGTACGGTCAAGACGTGTTCCCCCTGTACGCCTACCCCGAACACACAAGCTTGGAGCAAGTCGGTACCCTGCTGCATGCAGCAGTCAATCCCGGAAAGGAGGCTTACAACGAAGAGCTCCTACATCTGATCCTTGAGAAAGGAGGTGTGGTCAATGTCAACCGAGCAAACGCCAATGGCGAGACGCCCCTCCAGGTCGCCACCACCGACTCGGCCAGGTTGATTCTCATCAAAGTCGGAGCCTCGTGTGCGCATCTCTCTGACAGGATGAAACGACACATGGCATGCCTGTGCCATCTCGACGGCATCGCTTGTCCCGATCTGGGAAACGTGAAGATCGAGTACTGCTAAGCGGAGACCCTCGTGCACGAAGAACTCCGCGCGGACGATCAACTTGAAGATAGCGATCTTGAGTGCGCTTCCAACTGGAGTGACAGCGACGGCGAGGCGGAGGAGCAGCAGGTGGACGACTATGATCTTTACGAGTATGACGGCGGTGATGAGGATGATGATGGCTTCTCCGTCGAGGAGGACGGCGAAGACGGATCTGATGATGATCAATCGGACTACTAGAATGGCTTGGTCACTGCTAGGGAGCATCTGCGGGCGCGCGGACGCGTAAGTGCAAAGGAATGAGTGAGATAACAAGCAAATTCTGAGGCACAATGACTACAATTCAGAGAGACTTTTTTCCTCGGTGACTCAGAGCCTCTAATCTAAGTGGCATACCTCGTGTGGGCGAGCAAGTCTAGCTATGACGATCTCTGCTATGTCATCCAATAGGTACCTCATGCGGGCCGACCCAGACTTCATCCGAGCGTAGACCGGCGTAAGGTTTCCTCAAAGCAGGTACTCCGGTTTGCGATATTCACCTGGGATAGTATGCAACGAATCACGTTCAGCGGCCATAGAACCGTGCCATTCCTCTATCTCGTCGTCGTCGTCGTCATCATCGTCAGAGTAGTTGTAAGGGTCGGGATCCAGGCGAGGGAAGGTGAATCCCCGTGCCTCGCAAACTTTTCTGATACGTCCCTTGTACTTCTCGGGAAGCCTATCGCATTTTGCTCCGGCTTGGAACAATATGATCATGGCGCTCTCGTTGCTCATGGTGTATGCAATCGGCCGTCGACCATGGGCATCCTTGGCATCCATGTATTTGCGGCAGCCCTTCTCTGTCAGCATGGTGAGAAGGTTTTCGCTTTCGTAGCTGGCAGACCGGATGTAGTCATGCATGAACTCGTCATGTCCTCGATAGTCGTGATCTTCGGCCAGACCTGTTGCTTCTGAAATGAGAAATCTGATGGTGCGTCGCGATTGTTGGTCAGATTCGAATGCCACTTGAAGAGCGCTGCGAATGTGCATATCCAAGGTATGTTGCTCATTGCGCCTGAACTTTTTGAATCCACGGACCAGCCCCTTAGTTGTGGCTAGCATCTTGTCATCTGTGACATTCAGGGAAATCGCGTTGCTGTTGAAGTCTTCAGACCAATCTCGTGACACGGGCCAGCCACCGATGGCTTGCAACTTCTTGCAACCTTCGACCGAGTGATGGAATAGGGCCCACCAGAACGGTGTTCCCCACCTGCAATGCCTAAACTGTCCGATGTCTGCCAGTTCACCAGTCTGAAAGTAGCCTTGTTCGTATCCTGATTGTATGATAAGCCTCATTACTTCCTGATTATTGTCGAGCGCCGATGCCAGGTGCAGTGTAGTTCCGGTGTCTAGTAGATATTCTTGTCTGAAGGATCGAATCCAGCTTCCAGAAGCAACTGTACTGTAGAAGCATCCCTTGCTGCTGCGGCCAGAAGAGTGGCGAAATCAGGTTGTGCTCGTTTGCGTTGTCAAGGAACGAAAGGGCATGCTGTCGAACCAGCGATTGAACGACGCCGGTATTTCCGGACACCACGGCTAGCCCCAGTGTCAGATGGCCAACCATAAGGGTGGGGGGTAGAATGTATGTTGTTCTGCAGAGGGCTACAATACTAATCAGGCCTGGGGGCCATGTATATGTACATGAATGGTTCCTTTGTTCCCAGGATGTGCTTCCTGACACCCAGTGCATCTACGTATAACTCCCCAAACGTATTTCGGCAACCGGGGTTGAGGAATCGTACACGATCAGCGATGCTTAGACGGGCTGGGCCGCTCCTGGTGCATGCCTTGGATAGGCCATCGATGGTACATTCCTCGATAGAGAGCAATGCAAGAACGGTATGTTCACGGCCGTACTACGCGGCAATGTGAAGGGCAGTACTGTCATCCATGTCTCGCGCATTGATGTAGTCCGGCCAGAATCGCTGAGCCAGGTCAATGAGCATGTCGGACTGGTCGATCAAGCCGTTTGTGATTGACCAATGGAGAGCGGTCTCATGGCCATTCACCTTTGCGTACTGAATGTCGGCGATGTACAGCTCAATCCGGAGTGCGTTCCACAGTCGGCGATTCGCAGGAGCGAGAGGGTACACCTCGAAAGGGCGACGAAGGAAGTGTTTTCTGACTCTGTACAAGATGTCGACTGCCAGCTTCTCCTCCCCTTCACGCGTCGATATCTGGAGTTGATGCGCGGTGGCCATTGTTGGTATGTTGCGATGTGCAGAATGGCATTAATGATGATGTCAATGGTGTAGGCGCGAGAGGGAAAGGGACGAGATGCATCATGCACGTGCGTTGGCGTATTGCACTTGGTGGTATCGTTCGTGGATGGAACAAATGGGTTGCATTCGAGACTCAAATTTCAAGATGAAAAATGAGAACTCGAATCTTGTCGCCTTGGGCGTAATGGATCTGTCACGTAGCAAAATGTATGGTCGATTCTCCTCTGTAACGGCGGGGGCATGAAGTTGGGACAGTTTCCCCACCAAAAGGCCACACTTGCACCCCCAGATAACTGCATCTGTATTGAAGCTATAAATTATATAATAAACTCCTTAGAACCGCCTTTTCTTGGTGTTTTTAACAATATTAGTTGTTCACGCGGTAGCGCGCTGGCTGGCGGATCGCGCGGCGGATCGCGCGGCGGATCGCGCGGCGTGAAGATCGCACCAAAATGGGCTCGTCGGACTCTTCATCCGTGCCATCACCCTCTTCGTCAACGGCAACCCCTTCATCCTCAGAGGGCTCTAATTCCTCTAAATCTTCTGAATATGACTCTTCAGATTCCTTAGAGAGAGATCTCTCTGATTCATTAGTATACAAGTTCTGTAATTCACGTAAAACTCATTATCTCTCCTCCCGCTGCTCTATAGCAGCTCGTGCGGCCTCTGTATGCTCGATTTGCTCCGTAATAATGTCCCTAATCTTCTATAGCTATTGGTCTGGCTCTTCCTGAGAGGCCTTATGGCGCTTTTTTGGTTATAGATGCTCGATTTTGGCGTCTTTTGCCTCCAATAGCTCCTTTGCAAGGGCTAGCTCAACCACCATCTCATGGTACGCTCTTATAACCGAGCGGATTCCTGTTCGCTGCTCAGAGGGCTCAGTAACTGCTGATTGCATCAGGGCGATCTCCTGTCCTTCACATAGGGATGAAGGTGTTATTCCGCAATAATGCACGAATTTCTGTGTGTGTGCCATCCAGCCATTGGGGAGCCTCAGCAGATTCTATGGCTTCCTTATAGCTAGAAGGCTCGTCATCAAAGGGAAGTGCCTGACCAGGGTCAGAAGAAGGCCAATTAGCATAAGATGCCTCGATCGTAACATATGGAGATATGCCAGGGGTGGAAGACTCGGCCACGTAATGGTTGTGAGTCCTCTAAGTACGCCCTCCAGAGAGTATATTCTCTGGGTTGAGCCCTGATTGGATTCTTGACCTCGGAGCAGCCGTTAAGGCTACTTCTTGACGAGGTGGTTCAGATAATAGAGGAATCAAGTCAGCTGGAGCAGTACTCGGCTCAGGGTCGCTATATCCAGAGTCAGAATGATGACTATCATCATTATCAGAAATATCAGGGGTCCCAAGAGGGGTCCCTAACGTGACAACTGATTGGGGTGAATCCTCTCTACCATCCCTTCTGTTATCTGACTCGATATATATATGCTGAGGATTGTGAGCGCCCTCTGTGTTACGAACCAACGAGGCGTACAGGGAATGAGGCCCGCTGGCAGGCCCAACAAGATGGACAGTAACTGGAAGAACCCGGGAGAACGCACGGGCTAAGGAAACGTCTAGGTCACGTGATCAAGACATCACGTGATGGATAGCTTGGATAGCAAGGTTATCCAACATATCCAGGATAACTTGGATAGCAAGGTTATCCAATATATCCACCCCATCAGTGAGGGAGAGATTGGATATATAAGGAAGGGCATTTCCTAGCTAGACAGATAGACAGTCTCTATCTCAGTGATCAATCTAAGCATCTTAGCCAACCCTAAGGTGGGAGAAATCTCCTGACGACTCGACTATTCAGTGAACCCAGTTCAGACCAAGCCCCAGTATCTGAGTGTCTTCTAGTTGACAGAAGCCTCTATCGTCTTTTGTGTTGAATTACCTCAGAACATAAACCCTATAGAACCCTTTAGCCTTATAGGTTAGACGGCTCGTCACACTCTGGAAAAGATGGCGTTGACAGATCTTCAGTATCGGGTCTGGTTGTCTCATAGTCATTGAGTGTACCACGGAAGTTTGGAAAGATATGGATCAAATTCCCTGAAAGTACGTACCCATCCAAAATCTCAAGATGGGCAGTAACTATAACCTTTCTCAGTTGTGTAAGATACACCTGATACTGGTTGGAACCAAGGGAACGAAGAATACGACCTCTCCTTGCATGTGGAGCGGTCTTGTCTCCCTTAGGGCGGCGCTGCTGCGGTAAATGGACCACAGCGGCCTGCCCAATTGACAGTAATTCGTTAAATCAGGCTTGTTATCCTTTCCAGGGTTCAAGTCGTCAAAGAAGACTTCAAATGGAGTCTTCTTCACACCTTTGAGGAAAGACGTATAGCTCACATTGAGCCTATCACATACAACAGGTCCAATAACAGGCCAAAGGGCTTCAGGTAGCCCGGAATCCTTCATAATACTGCAAATGAGAGCATATATAACGCCAAAAGATCTCTCAGCCACTCCGTTCTGTTCAGGAGTGTATGGAGCACTGACTTCAAACAGGATACCACGTTCAGCTCCCCATTGCTTGAATCTTGCGTATTCAGAACCACCATCCATTTGGAATCGCTTTGGGTAACGTCCGTACTGGGTGTGAGCGTATTCACAGTAGCGAATGGCTTGGTCAGAAGCTTCCCCTTTCTTCTCATAAGGGCAGTACTCCCTCAAACGAGACTTGCCATCCATAAATACAGTGATAGAGAGAACCATTATAGCCTTGGACAGAGTGCTTGGCTGTATCCATATGTACCAGGTCTAAAACATGATCTGGATGTTCCTGCTCAACTCGAGAGACTAGGCGACGTAGATTGGACTCCAGACATTCCAAACAGGTGAATTCTTTTGCCAGCTCTTGTACATTTGGCGGCAATTTAATCCCTTTGGTGATACTGGCTGTCTTGATCAGGTCACCAATAGATCGGTGGCCAAGTCTTGTATGCCAACAGTGGAATAGTCTTAGCGCCACAGATTTAGCTTGAGAGGTCAGTTCCAGGGAAGAATCCTTGGATACCATATTGGTGAACACGTTCGGGGCTTGATTGATCCCATATGCGTCCTTCTGGACACTAGGAATCTCTGTCTGAACGCACATTCCCTGGTGGAATGATGCCACCCATGTCCCATGGGGGTCAAACAAATCGCGGATTATCAGATACTATCCCTGGCGATACATCTGGTCTCCTGAGAGGATATTGATTGGGAAGGAGGGCACAAACAGTGCTCCAGAGATTGTCCGAGTGACAGTATCACCATTAGAGGTAATGAACGGGATCTCCATGTTGCCAACACCTTGAGGAGTAACAGGGCCTCCTCTAGTGTTAAAGGAAACCAGATCAGGGTCCATTCGAAGGCGAGTGAACCACTTCTTGCTATTGCAAATAGAAACAGTAGAGCCAGTGTCAAACAGCCACGAGTCTGTGCTTGTTGTAGCATGAACGGTGTTAATCAGATTGGTACTTGCTCCCTGGTTGGCGCTATTTGGTGGTCCTTGAGTGAGGACATATTGACTGGAGATGGCCTTATCGGCATAATTGCACCATTGAGCGGCGTCAGAAGCGCCAGTGTGACCACTCTGGTGAGTGGGAGCGCTGTTTGAAGACCTTCCAGGTTTCCTAGCCTTCTCAGAGGCCTGGATGATCTGGTTGAGGATGCGTTTATTGCATCCAAGGTGGCCCTTCTTCTTGTCAAGCTCTCTGCACTCATAGCACCAGATAGGATCCGTGGTATTGCTATTAGAAGAGCCCTGGTTGATTCTAAGAGTTCTGGGGCCATTAAGAGATAAGCGGTTATTGTTTTTTCCCTTGTTTTTTTATTTGTTCTTTCCTTTACTAGGTATAACAGGCTTGCCAAAGTTAGTGACAAAGGTCTCATCTTGAGCCTTGCGAATCTGTATCTCCTCCTGGAGCCGGTACAATAGATTTTTGGTCGTAAGGAAGATTCTACGGTTATAATCTTTCAAGATTTCGTGATAAAGGGTTGGAAAAGCTGTCCGAATAGCAGCCAGGAAATTGGCAATGCGGATATTCAGAGGATATGTGATATTCTGCCGCAGGACCTTGTCCATTAGTTTGCGGTAATTGCTCACGAACTTGTCTCCATAGTCAGAGAATCGAATGACAGCCAGTTCATCTATAACTGATGAAACTGCGTCAATTCTTGTGCCTGAATATGCCTGTCGCAAGGCTATCCAGATCTGACCAGGGTCAAACAAACCCGTGATACGAGAATCAGGGTCAGACTTAATGTTCTGGGTGATAGCGAGGTATAATTTTGATCTCTTGATGCTCAGATTAGCATCCAATTCAGGGGGCTTGGAAGAGGCTCCTGTAGAAGGCGTGGCTGGGGCGTCGACAGCACTAGTTGTGGCCTTATATGGTTCCTTCTCGTCTACCTTGATAGCTTCAAGGATAAGAGACCAGAGCCCAAGGGTATTGAGCAAATGCTCCATTGTTTGGGCCCAGACCTCCCAGTTCTCCTCGCCGATGAGCTTCTGATGGTCTTGGAGGCGAGAGATAGAGATGGACGTAAAGGCCAGGGCTGTCTCTGGGGTGGATTTAGACATAATATAAGAAGGATAATACATTGTAAGGCTAGCCTACAAATAAGGCAAAATATAAGTCAAAGAGCGACCTCTTTCTATATAAAAAGAACAGTTATAATGGAGAAACACTTAAAGACTTGTGGCAACAAGGGTAGCTAGTCCTAGAGGCACACAAGCAGAAAGAGGGTAATAAGAATGAATCAGACCAGTAGAAAAAGCTTAAAAGGTAAGGGCTGCTGGAGGTCGTGATCGATCAGAAATGCTACCATGTGAGATTTCAAAGTGTTCTATTAAGGAGAGGAATTCCAGCTACTCTGGAGCGGCCAGAGTGGCCCTATATATCCAAGATACTAAAGGAAAGGATACGTGGCCTTATGTGGCCACGTATGTGACAGAGTCACAGATGGGGATGGTGATCCTGAAGGATGACTATGGATGGGCTAACGCAGCCCAGAATCCAACAATAATGCCGTACTTATCGACATTTGCCCGGTTTTCGGGTTTGATAAAGGCGAAATCTTCATAGCGGTCATGGAAGCCATTGATATTATCAGGAGTGGCAGCATGGATACGCTTGTAGTCAAGTTTTCTTCCTATCTTGGTCTTGATCTCTGGGTGTCTCTGGATGAAGTTTCGCATGTAATGGCCCCCTAAGTGATCCGATTTTCTCTGGGATTTTAGGATCCTCTGGATAATGTACTTCACATTACCGTGAGTTGGCGCATGGCCTGCCTTCTCTTGATGGAGGATCCATAAAACCACCTTGGTTTCCTACTCAGGGCTCAATTTCTGTTTAGTACGAGCGCCCTTACGATATGACTGCGTTTGGGTCATCGTGGTGCCTTCGACCTTGCGAGAGAGGGTTAATTTTGGCACTCCATAGCATTAGGAGGCCTTGCAAAGAGACAGTTCGTTATCGTTCACAGCGACGATTACCTCGGCGAGGTCTTCAGGAGTGTACGGAGGAGGCATTTAAACGTACTGAAGCCTATAATGCTTACAGAAAAAAAGAAAAAAACCCCCCCCCCCGAACTTCTGCTGGATTGGAGGGGATAGGGGCACGGGAGCCGGGACCCCTCAGTTCTAGGCCCGGGAGTACTAACTTCCGACCCCCACCACGGCCCATCCCGCTGCAGTGTACCTAATGGATTCTACATTGGAAGAAACACCAAGAAAATACGATTCAAATGCATTATTTATAGTATTTACAGCTTCATTCTTGATGGTGATGTGGGTGGGTGCAAGTGTGGCCTTTTGGTGTGTAAGCTGTCCCAACTTGGGGGCTGTCCCAACTTCATGCCCCCGCCGTTATTGATCTTTTTTCTTGGGAGGATTCCGCGGTGCATGATTCTCCTCCTAGATATCCCTGTGTTGTGGGTCACTCCTTATCCTGTTATCACACGTGATACCCCTTGGCACCTACTGCCGTTCAACAGGATCAGCTTGTTGGGTGCGAAACACGCTCTCACTGACCTAGGTATCTGGTACTACGTAGGCAGTAGGTACGAGCCTTGTGGGTGACTGGGAAGTCTCGAAAAAAAGTGAAATGAAGAGCATCCGAAAGCGTATTGCGACACCAGGGGTGACCAGGTGTGCCTCGGGAGGGATATCGGTGTGCTTGTTCGTGACGATCCGAGGATGTTATGATTGATCTCAGAGAGGTCGTAAAGGTGCACTGCCCTGGGTGATTGTGGTGGTGGGATGTAGGAGTGCAAGAGGCGTGTGTGGTCTGGTGAGAGAAAGGAAACGGTGATGAGGTGGAATCTGAGCTTATATACCTTATACAAGCACAGTGTCTGGAATACCTCAGGACACCAGACCAGCAATGGTTACTCTGGCGATGAGCGATTTGGGAGCCACCAGTTTAAGCAAGAATCGTGGGCTGGTCGTTGCCTTGAGATCCACGCTTCATGTGACATGGGGCTGCACCGTCGTCCTCCTTGCCTCCGAGTATCCTTCAAGTTCACCCTTATTCCCGCTCGAGCAGCTGGTGCAGGAAACTTTCGGGGTTCACGGAGTCTAAACTTGTAGCATTACAATCATTCAAGTATCTTGCGAAGCCATGCGGGTGAGAAGCATAGAGGTCCATCAAGTTCTGGCTTTCATCACCGCATGGCCTAAAGGCCAGCCGCTCAAGGGTCACTTTCTTTTTTCCGTCAAAGCATCTTGACGGATCCAGCAATGTATTTCTGACCCGGTCCTGAACTTATACTTCAATTTACTTTGCAGCCAGTTCGGACAGCTTCTAGTCTTCCTGAAGCTGATCAATGCAAACATATTGTATGCCATAGCCACCCGACAATCAACCCGGCAATCACAGCGCCAGCCATTCTAACATATCTTGTTGAGCAAGCACCTCGGAATTATGCTATATGTCTAGCTTGCGTAAACTTCACGCGTAGTGTGGTTGGAGGCATTGCTTTGTTTCCCGGGCAGACGGAGGCTTCGTACATCCCATCCCACCAAAAGAGTTTCGGAATGGCCGAGACATAATATCAATGCTTTTGTCCTATCCTGCCACAAAGGCGTATTGTTGGTGGATACGAAAAATGCCGGGGCTGGAGGATGGAAGGTAGACTGAAATAAAGAGCATTGCGATAACACTATCCCATCCAAACTCATGCAGAAGGGCCTGAGCGAATGGTACTCTGACCAATATGAGAGCAATATTTGGAAGGCAACAATGACATACCTACTCAGTGAGCCCCTGAATTGTAAAGTTATAAGGTTACAATGTCATACTGAGACCTATAGCGGGAAAAGATAACCTGAGATGCATTCTGTGATGTCTTTCCAATTGATACCCTTACGGAGAACGGTTCCAGAGGTACTGTACCTTCCTCTTAAATGTACGGACCAGAGTTGAACAACCTGCACAACCGTGCCACGCCCAATTCATTCACTATTCACTACTAGTAGTGTTCGTTGCGGTGGACAACACACCACAACTTCACGTCTTGTACGCAGCTAGCATACGTAGATAGATGTCGGACCGCTTGTCACGTCCCATCGCCCCTGTGGTCTTGCAGCTGGCCTGCAGCAACCAGGCGACGTTGAAGACTGCAACCAACCACAACTTCACGCGTAACCACTGCCACTTGCTTTGTCTTGAGCCGGGATATCTTGCCTCCTCCTCCTCCATCGCGCAGACTTATTCTTCCAATCCGCCAATTGACACAGACACAACAAGTCGTATTAGCGGCTGCAGTCATTCATTGACAACCGCCACAATTCCTAACACCTCCATTGCAAAATTCAGCGTATGCGTGTCTGTCACAGTTCGACTGCTGGTGACTTTATAAATGACTTTGTCGATGTACGTGACGAGGAAAGGCCATGAAGCTAGGTAGGAGACGTGAACTGATATGTATAGGGGTTGACCCCTGACACTGTGGGGCTGTCTTCTAGTGACTTGACAGTATCTCGCTAACCAGTGTTCCTGAGAACAAATAAACTCTTAACGCCTCGGTCCTCAAGCCGCAGTCCGAGCTTCAAGAGACTATCCGATACCTTAAGTTACCGTAATCAGCCGCGATAACCACTGGAAACACCACTTCTTCCAGTACCTAACATACCATCCTTTCGCCCCACCTGCCTGCTCAACTCACCTCAGTCGTCAAGCCTCTCTCACCATGGAGGCTGCATATCAAGACGGAGATCAGAAGTTGTCGGACGATGTCCTCGCCTACCTCGGCGAGTTCCTGCTCGACAGACCTTCGCACGTTTACGCCCTGGCTCGAGTCAACAAGCGAGTCTGGGGAGCCCTCAAGAGACAGCTGTTCGTAGCCGACGTCCACTTCACCAAGGAGCGCGAGAAGACCGTTGAAGCCGACATAAACGAGGGGGATGATGCAGCTACAGTAAAGCGCTCAGAGTACGACGCAAGACTGCCCTTGCCAGACCCTCCCACGGCATTACACTGGAGCATAGCCAACGGCGAAACGACCTCGGCAGAACTGGCCATCGACGCAGCGTCCACGATCTGGCTCGGTTACTTGGATGTGAAAGACATGTGGGACCAGTCTCCCATATATCTGGTTGCAGAAACCGGGATGCTTCAGATCCTCGAGAAACTGATTGCCGGTGGCGCCTGTATCGAGGCCGTCACCACACGAGCTGATGGGACCCACCCAGCTCATGTTACGCCCCTTACGAAAGCTGGAGCGTCTGCCGTGATGCCATTGAAGTGTCGCTTCATCGGTGTGTCCCCACGGATGCATTGGGCATTGCGATCCTCAAGCATCACATCCAGATTGTTGAAAGGCTACTGCAAGTTAGTGAACGTCATCCGAAGCCAGCAGAATATGAAGGGTGGGATGTCGCATCGCCCCTTTGCATTGCCGCCTTACGCGGCAGCTTTGCGATGGTCAAGTTGCTACTGGACGCAGGTGAGAATCCAACAGAGGACTATGACCCTATATTTCATTGCACTCCGCTACACCTTGCCGCTCAGGTCAACAGCGTTCATATCATCGAACTTCTAGTCAGTCATGGGGCTGTCGTTGACCAATATGACTGGTCTGACCTGACGGCTGTGTACCGTGCAACCGAGCACTCCAATCTAGGAAGCGCAGACCGGCTGCTAGACTACGGAGCGAATGGCACAAACTGTTCTGAAGATGGCATTTCGGCTCTTGACCACACTGTCCAGAGTGACAAAATGCTCTCGATTACCGAGAAGATGCACGCCCAATGCGAAGATGCATCCTCGGAGGAGATCAGCAACGCTTTCAGGAAGGCTTGCTACTCACCAATTAAATCGATGCGGACGATTATATTCCTTCTCGATCATGGAGTCCACTTGCCATCGTCGACTCTGCACGATCTAGTGTCGTTTGAATATTACCATCCCGAGGTACTGAAAAGAGTACTAGCAACAGGACGAGCGAACCTGGACGCCCGAGACATTGACGGCTTAACTGCTTTTGAATTCGCTTTGATCCACCGTCGGAGCGATGCCGTGAACATGCTCCTCGAGGCCGGCGCGAGAACCCAGGATCTTCCAGTCATCATTCAGTATGGCCTAATGATGTGGCACAACGTTCCATGGTGATGATATATGCTTATCAGAGGGAGGTAAAGGATGTATCAGATCGTGAGGGTTAGGGTCAACGGAGAGCACTATTCGCAGGTTCAACCTATGGTCTAGGTGGTGAGGGAAAGGGGCATCTATGCCAGAAGGGTGGAGGAAGTACAGGCTCCTAGTACCTAATCCCAGAACTCACTACTGCGGAACAAGAAGCAAGTCGTGTTCATACCTGTCAATCGTCTCTAGTATTTCTGTCTGTGCCAGGTGATAATGTAAATCTTGACTTCAACTACTGTGGACTTGGCTTGTGATGACCTACAGGCATGCACAAGTGAACATAACATTGACAAAGCAGGTAGAAACCAGGGAACAGAACACCATTGGAGCGAGAGCGATCAAGGGAGGAGGAAGAGTGCTTGGTGGAGTGGCCTAATACAGGGAGACTGGGAGGAAATGGCAATCCCAGGCCTCAAAGACAGTTGTGCACGCGAGGCGAAACAGAGTTAACAGGATTATAATTATCACAGACAGTAAACACGGAAGACACTTGCCCATACATTCGTAGAAAGGTTGGGGAGATTTTTGGTTGACTTATGGCTACCTAAGATGAGATGACCGTCGCAGGCACCAAGTCAAAGAACTAGGAAAAACTATAGAGTGTGGTGGTGTACCAAGTATGCAAGCCCAGAAAATGCAAACCCGAAGGAGAATGAGTCCATATCCTGATTTAAATCATGAACTGAGACCAATCTCGAACGCAAGCCCAGTCTGTGGGAGTCAAACTCCAAAGGAGAAGATTGTCACCCATGTTTGGTCGCGACGTTGACCGAGACGCCCTGCTGGATCAACCGCACCACCATCATCAACCTTCCATCCTCTGCTGCAGCCGTGTATTGTGCGTTCCACCCTTCATTGTAGCTCCCAGAAGAGTGGATGCATTGTGGACTGGTTTTGTTGGCAGAGTGCAGGTAGGCGAGAAAGGATCGCATGGTGTAGAGATCAAGTAAATGCCCAAGGTAGCATCATAGGCAGGAGGAGCTAGACTACCAAGGAAGCAGGTCGCATCTCACAGACTGCGCAACTTGATACCTTGGGTGGAGGTTGGAAACTTGGGGGTTGTCTCGGGAGGTATCAGTGGCGAAAGCTGCAAGATGTGCACGAGAGTATCGGAGGCTTGAGGTGATCCATGCTTCGAGGTTGCCAGAAGCTCTGGAGGAGCGCGTCGACGACCAAGGGGAGTGCAGTGACAGAGCTCTAGAGATGATTACTAGAGCTTGATGCATTCCGTGAAAACGCCTCATTGCCTCATTGAAGTCCGGCTCGCCATAAACGCGTGATCTATGATGGTCAGCCACAGCCAACCGCAAAGTTGCAAGGGTAGTACTTACGTGAAAATTGCTAGGCGCGATCACTGATTGCCCTGTGGTGATGGGTCTCCAACCTACAGCCGTGTGCAAAGCCAAGGGTCCTTGCTTCCTGAATGCGGACGGTGAAGTCTGGATCGTGACAGGAGGAACGCGGTCGAAGAGATGTGGGAAAGTTTTGGTGCAAGAAAAAGAAAAGAACAATTGGCGAGAGCGGTTTGGCTGACGTCTTGCCGGGATCAGTGGTCAGTTGATTCCAGGCTCATACTTCATTCCACGTAGTCGCGTAGCTTGTCGAAGATCTTGAAGACTAGTGCTGAGGAAGAGGAGAAGACACGAGATGAGTTAGATCCCTTCATCGTCGAGCTGAGCATTGGCCATGGCGTCATAGTCGTCGTCATCGTCCTCGTCCTTGATAATGATGGGCTTGGCCTCAGCCTTGACCTTGGGCTCGGCCTTAGTCTTGGTCTCGGGCTCATCCTCAGTCTCGGCCTGGTCCTCAGTCTTGGTCTTGGGCTCGGCCTTGGCCTTGGGAGTCTTGGGCTTCTTGAGCTCGGCCTCAGTCTTGGGCTTCTTGGCCTTGGGCGTGACCGCATCATCCTTCAGAGCGCGCTTTCGAGGAGTCGCGACAGAAGGGCTGGCTGCAGCGTCATCCTTGGCAGCGTCGTCCTTGTCAAGAGCGAGTGCCATGATCTTGTTCTTGATGGGGGCGAAGCAAGCTCGCGCGGACGCCGGGTTTTTGAAGTTAGCGTTGTCGGCTAGCTTCGCAAAGTTGACCTAGAAGGCAGCTGTTAGATTTTCCCCGCTGCATCGTGTCCATATGACGGGTTTGAGTAGGGAGAAGGCCAGTGGAAGCGAAAAGAGAGTCAGGTGTTCGGTAGGAACGTCAGTGAATGAGAGCCAGGAATTTGCACTTACTTTAGGCTCCAGCTCGCAGGATACCCATGCCATTGCGAGGATCTCGATCTCACGGGGCGTGAGCAGGGCCGGCTTGGTGGGAATCTCGGACGGTGCCATGTTGTCGACGTGGAGATCTGGGGGTGTTGACTGAAGACGTGGTGAGTACGTGCCGACCGGTATGGTGCATTCACTGATCAAGTGGAAATAGGTGCAGTGAGACAATGGGAGACTGGCGGGACGGTCGTTTGAGAAATGTGGGAAGGTGGCAGGAGGTGAGCAGGATGTGGGGGGTGTACGAATGGAGGTTTTGTGGTGATTGGTAAGAGGTTGCGGAGTGACGGTGTCAGGGTGAACGAGGTGGTGGGTGCAGGGCCTCTTGGTTTCCACAGGGATTTTCAATGTTGTGGGAAGAAGATGGTGGACTATGGATGAAAGGCAGTGCGCGGAGAGAAATACCTTTGGTTTGAGGTGTCTGTAAATCCTGGGGAACGGCTGTGACAAGGCAAGGTCGTGAGTGAACTGTATAAATGAAATGTGACGCTGTAGGCAGACGAAGTGGAAAGAAAATATGACGGGTGGGAGATGTGTTGGGCGAGAGATATCGTTTGTGGGGTGCTGCTTTACCTGGGAGGTTGGAGGAGGGAAGGTCAAAAGCGGTGGGTAATGGCAGTCCTGAATGGATGAGTTGGAGAAGGTGGACAAGCGGTGGGCGGTGGACGATGTTGTATTGGGATGCAAGAGGGCAGTCGAATGGCGTGTGGCTGAAAATGGATAGAGCTACTAACCAGCTGCCGGGAAGTGAACTTCAAGGGTGACTCGAGCGGTGAATGGCACTGAAAGTATCCTGGACACTTGATGCTGTCTACTTTAGGGACGCAAGTGATTTGAATCAAAGATGAGCACACCGGGGAAAGAAGGTTCTCAGACGCAATTAAGCTGTTGACGGGATGCATGGAAGTAAAACGGTCATAGGAATGGAAAGATGCAGAAAAAAATGGCTCTGAATCTCAAATGACCACCTTTTCCAGGAGACATGCCCCCTGGGGCCGCCCTTGGGAACTCCATAGTAGAGCATATACCTGGGACAGGCTGTGGTAACGACGGGTGCAGAGGTAGATAATGGGTCAGCTGACAATCATGCGATTAAGATGAGAACGTCCGGCCTCATGTACTCAACTCCTTCGCCGATATACACGTACCTTCCTGTATCTCTTGAAAGAACCATGGGGCGTTGCCCTCTTCTTTCTCGACCTGGGGTTTGACCTCGTCATTGTTGTCCTCATCATCCACAACCACAACTTCGGTGTTGTCAATATCCATAGGGTCGCTATCAAACTTCTGCTTGACCGCTGCAACGGGGCTGTCTTCGACGATGTTCATTCACTCATCTTCGCCGTCGTCACCGATAGCGATTGACTGGGCGTTCATGCCATTGGGGATTGGGTTGTTCTCGGCGGAAGCTTCGTCTTTCTGATGAGGTATGTTGGTCTGGACTCTGGCCGTTGCTGTCCTGGTTGACGGTTTCTCCCACTCCCGGCTTGATTAAGAGTTCGTTTGCTTCGTCGGTAGCAATCGGTCGTTCGATATCCTTTGTTGAATGGCGAGGTGGCGGTGCACCCACAGGCCCCATAAGGCAATTTGGAGTGATGTAGCACAGGGCACCGAAGGATTTTCTCCAGAATCACACACATCATCAGAATACATCAGAACACACGTTTTCACCCATCTGAATGACCCTACGCACTGTTTGACATCGTTTGCTATAAATCCTCGTTCTGAAGCTCCTTCTTGATCGGGGCGGATTCTTCCGCGTGGCCTGCCTCCACACCATCAAGAGGTCAGCCCACTCTCGCAAGGGCTTGCCTAGTAGGGTCCAGGATAAAGGCGCAAGGGAGATCTGAAGGGCTCAGTCGTAGTCTGCGCATCGTCTTCTTTTGCTCTTCTGGGGTGGAGAGATAAGCAAAGACAGTTGAATCTGTATCCAGAAGCGTCTTGGAATCCATACGGAGTTCCTTCGAGGCAAGGGGATACTAGAGTCGGGAATATGGAAGTCGACCCCATCGTCGTCGGAACCCTTAAGTCTGGATACAGGGGATTGGTAACGCACGATGTGCACGCCTGCTCCTGTTGCGTGGCATCCTCGCCCTTCCGGCACTTCCACCACCCGCTCATCCCCCATTTTGTCGTAGCCGGCCAGGCGGGGTCCGGATTGTGGTGATGTTTGTCCCAAAAGAACGTGCTTTACGAAGCATTCCTCTAGCCGTCGGAACCCCCGTCGTCGGAGCTTGGTCTGCCACGTCTGCTCCTTCGGACTTTGATCGCGAGTGCCTTGGTCGGCTGAGGAGCCGCAGGTTCGGGGTTTACGTCCTGCATGTCGTCAACGTCAATATTCGGGGGTTCTTCCATGACGGCGTCAACATTGCCGAAATTGGGACAGACTCCTCCGAGTAGATTGCTCCCTCCACATGGATCACCTCCTCAGCGTGGATTGCCTCCTCCGCGTGGATATCCTTCTCTGTGTGCAAGAGAACACGATATCCCTGTGTGGTACCGCTCTCGGCACCGATCCTCGGGGGATTTACGGTTCCCAAACCAGCGGATTGGTAGTTGGCACCAACATCTCTACCAAATCATGCTCATCGATGTTTTTGGCAAAGTCATTGAGCGTCGTCTGATGCTTGATGATTGGGGCATGGTCCCATCCAAGCTTCTTGCAAATATCGAACGTGAGGTCGGCACGAAGGTACATCTGCTGATCGATGTCGAAGATGCCAAAGACGTAGAACTTGTGACAACCACGGGGGAATCCCATGGTGTTGCGCAAAATGCTTGACCTACACCAGGATGCGGTGTCGCAACTTGCAGGGAGCATGACGGTGCCAGGGTATCTGCACAACTCGCCTTGGACCATGATGTTCTTGCTGACCTGGTGGATACTGGGATGTCGTTGATGCGACGAAGGATTCCATGATGCTTCGCGACATTCCAGAACAATGACGCCGGATGGTGTGCCGCGACCTTCAACGTGATCTCAACACACACATCTCTCTGAGCGGACCTGTTCCGTTAACTCCGAAGTCAGCCTTCGTCCAGCTCCAAGTGGAATCTTGAAGATGAGAGGAGATGCAAGCCCAAGCTCAACTAGGTCGAACGAACAAATTTTCTACGACGATGCCGTGCTTTCCATTAGGAAAGGTGGTGTAGAAGGGAGCCTTCATTGCGATGACTAGACCTTGAGGCAGGATTTGCTCTATCTTGAGGGAGGGATCGGTATTGAACAAGATGATAAAGTCGACTCCGCCTTCGGCGTCTTCGACGTCCGCGTAGATGCAGCGGTCAAAGTTCGGCGGGGTGAACGTTCTTAAGACTGCGACGTGCTGGAAATGCCTGCTGATACGCAATTTGTCGAGCTTCAAGCCATGCAATGGGGTTGTCGACGGCCATACCCTAACTCGTCTAAACTTGGAGATCGTATTAGACAAGTATACGAAAGCCCTTGCAAGAGACGCCGATACTCCAGCGTCCAGGGGGCCAGAGTTGCGTGACGGCGCCGGCAATACAAGGATTATGCAAGGCCTTCTGGAGCACCATGGGGAGCAGCCGGGCGTTGGCACCGGAGAAGCCCGTCTCCGTAAGAGAGCTGTGAACCCAGTTGGTAGCAAGCGGATCGGCAGTGTCGTGGAGGAAGGAGGGTTGGACCTATGAGTTTGTTCCCGTTCGAAAGACGCCGTCTCTCAAGTATGAACTCGGAGTAAAAAGACTCGCGGCCAGTTAATACTGCCAGCCCAATTAGACCGGTCGTAGGGGAGACTCGGCACCCAAACCAGGAAGACCACTTACTTCGTGAAAGCTCACCAAAGTAACCGACAAGGTACTATGACAGCGTTCGCATGTCACGCTATTCTCGCTTCAGAGGGAGCACCTCGGGAGAGGAACTCTCCTCTGGCTTGAAGAAGCCTTCGAGCGGCGGAGCTTGGTGTTTATGCGTAACCTGAGATTCGTGCTTGATCTTGGCGAGTCTGCGCTTGAGTACTTGTGCTTCTCTTTCTTTTACAACATCTCTAACGAAAATTTCTTTTTTGATACTTCTTAGCTAATTATCGAGCACGTCCTTTTCGCCAGGTCCCGACGCTGCTTGCTATAGTTTTATCAGTCTATGGTCTTACCGACAGTGTCAATGTTGAGACATACATTGCTCCGACTGAGCTTCTTGAGTGACAATGAGCGCTGAGTTGTGGTCACCCGAGGCATCCCTAATAGGAGAAGGGTTGCGAGAAGGCGGACCTTGAGTTTGCTGGCGGTTAAGCAGGGCGCTCATCTCGGAATGAGGTCGACGGCAAGGTCGACGATCTCGAAAATGTGGTCGTTGCCGATTTGGTGCTGGTCGATACGGCAGACGATATGATGATCGCCAGATGATCGATGACAGTAGTCACCACAGCCAGGGCCAGCGTTGCCAAGCTACACCTCGGTACTGTCGATGGGCTTAAGAACCACTTCTGGTCTGTTCAGCCATGTCTAGCCGATGGTGGTCAGCCTCAACAGGCGAGATTCCAAGGAGAGGCAAGCAGTCTACAGGCACAGCAGTTAATCAAAGTAGATGACGACGGCCAGTATGATGATGATGATTTTATTTATCGTGGGTGCAGTCCCTCAACAGGGCAAACCACGCTTCCCAGAGCCATTGCATCGCAAGGTTGTAGATGTGTCAGTCTAGATACATTCAGATCCGCGCACGAGCCTATCCTCGCTGTAGCGGTACCAATCTGGAGTGTCCAGATGGTTTTAGTCAATACCCAAGCACGATTCTGTCAGAAAAACCTCCTATCCAGTGACAAAGCGACCCAGTGAACCTCAGTCCTCTGGTGTACACATCGTTCCAGTAGCCGTTCGATATATGTCGCATTGGTGGATGAAGTAGGTGTTTGTTATCTGCTGGCAAGGGAAACCACAAGGGGAAAAACCTCGCAGGAGTGGGTGTTATGGAGACAAGCTGCTTGGCTATCGGGCTCTGCGATAATAGGGCCTCTCCACTGTCGTGTGCTGGTTGTCGACTCGCACAAGCCGGGTCAGAAGGAGGCCATAGCAGGATTCGAACCCACTTGTTCTCGTCGCCCACCGCACAAACGAGAACACAACCAGGCGCATTTGATCATTGCGCCATACGGCCGACGACGGCCAGTAGAAGGTCAAGGTACTCGAGATCGGTATAGAGAAATGAGCTTGTTACATATCTGCAGTGGTGACTAGTGTCGGTTTGGGGACTCCGACATTCGTGCCGATGCCGGTCGCATGGCCTTTGCGGTGGTTTTCTATTTCCAAACAGTCGTCAGTATATACCGCCAGGTCAGAGATGTATAAAAAGCTTTCATGCAGTGAAGAACGTAAAAGGCGCAAAGACTGAAGAGGGTAGGCAGGCTTGGTGGACAGGTTGGTTGGGATTGCGATTACGCCTACTTGAATACCTAGGCTCAACGGGTCTTCAATAACCGTCGGAATATGAAAGGTGTGCACTTACAGTCCGGCAAGTCGTGATTTGGACCCGACTTGTCTGGGATGCCTTCCATGGACCCTGCCATCGCCTCGTCCTAGCTCATCCTGGTATGGGTCGAAGGAGAACCGCCGAAGAAGGATAGTGTACGATGTCGGTAAGGAGGGGGTTTGCGGCACTGTTCCGTCCGAGTCCCTTCACCGTATATGCGAAGGTCGCGCCCCTTGCTTGTGGTCTTGCTCTCAACCACAGTAGGTCTGTGGGTGACGAATGGACGAGGTAAAACGCAAGCAGCGTACCGGGGGATCTCGTACGGGAACTGTGATTGGGCCGCGCCCAGTGCTTGAACCTGGGATGCCCGAGTGGGCCGAGGAGCGGTTGCCGTCGTGGTCTGAGTAGTGGAAGACGGACCAGTGGCTACAGCAGCCGGAGCTCGGCCTCGTAGCGGTCCACCGGGGATCGCGAGCTGTTGGAGACGAGGATCACTAGGCAATCGTGAGGAATTCCCAGGAGGACACCCTCGATGGTGCGATAGTCTTCATTCATGCACGGAATGATAATCGCCATCTGAGTCTCAATGCTTGTCAGCGCCTAGAACAAGGACCAGTGGTAAAAGACGGACCAACATCAGTTGCTGCTTCAGGCTGAGCACCAGCAGCGGCGGTAGCAGAAGCCGCACGAGCAGCAGCCTCCTCTGCCAAGAGGGTCTTCCGAGTTACAGTCGACTATACTCGCTGGGAACAGGCCAGCCACCCACGGCCGCTGTCCGGGTTGTACAAAGAAAACCCGGGGGCTCCCTGGATAAACCCTGGGCTTGGTCGCTGTGTAGGGAGCTTTCGGTTGCAGGGAAGCCAACGTAGCCGGGCATGACCAGGAAGTCGTTGTATGTGAAGTCACCGTGCTTCTTGGTGTCGACGAGATTTTGAGGAACGTGTTTCTGATGAGGGAAGGGTCGGTGACTCCTCGATTAGCGAGCTCTTCGGCGACGATGATTTGCAGGTAATGCTGCTCCGCAGCCAGTATGTTGTTGGCCAGCATGTTATTCGGGTCGTCGCGCATGTTGTTCACGTAGTTCTCAACGCGGAGCTGGTTGGCGGTATTGTAGACCGGAACGTCCGGGATGCCTTGAAGGGGGGGGAGTTCCTGTTCTGTTGCGAGCGGCCTCGTTATCCTCTTTCTTGACAACGACCGCCTCGTTGCTTTCGATGGTCTTATCATCTCGTCTTCTGCGCGCAGAAGTGCTCCGGGTTCTATATCAGATTAGCGAACCGCAAACGAGGCGTATCCGACACGGATCACGTACCCGAATGCAATGCACCACGCAATGATCACAGATTGTTTCGCGCTCCTTATGTACTGCAGAGTCCTAGTCTGCTCGGATTAGCGACTGAGCACAGCCAGTCAGTATATACCACCATTTCCACGTGTCTCGGATGATGGGCAGAAGGTAAAGCGTGGACAACTACCGTCGGCAGAGTAGGTCTGCGATTTCAGAACTGACCTCCTCACGAGATGGAGCAACGCAAGCAGCGTAAAACATCGCGAACACAGCCCTTGGTGACTGCAGCAGATGTCAGCACTCGGCGACTCTTCCCGGAAACTGGATGATGGTGGTCACCGCGCTACCTAAAGGCCAGACGGGCGTGTAGAAATGCCGACAAAGCTATCGGGCTTGGTATCAATGCGCCTGTAGGCAACATTGCAAGGATGGGCAAGCAGGCCAGTTGTCAAGACGCAAGCAGCGTAGGGTGTCGCAGGGCTGGGCAAGTCTCGCTCAGTACAAGCAGAAGGGGTATGACGAGATTGATTTGAGATGGGTGTGTTGGAATGGAGTGGGAGAAACTGGGGGCTTGGACCATTTTACCTCTTATATAGTATTTCCATCGCAGCGTGGGGAGAAATTTTACAACTACAATGGTGTGGAATGTTCCGGGAGCCCCGGTAGACTAGAATACGGGGGTAGGAAACGGGGGTAGAAGGCGAGGGATGGGCCAGATTGAAGCCATGAGCGGCCCGCAGAAAAGCCCCGGGAATCCTTCAGGAGGCGGGCTGATTGAGCATTCAAAGCCTGATGCGTTGAATATGTCCAGACGTTCAGAGGGCTTGACGGGGGCGGCCGAGACGGGGGCGGCCGAGACGGGGGCGGCCGAGACGGGGGCGGCTGAGACAGCCGCAGTTGAGACCGCGGGAGCTGAGACGGTAGCAGTCCAGAGCACTTGAGAGTGCCTGTCCAGACCAGGTCGTTATCCACGAGCAGTCCAAAGGGCCCAGTCTCAGTGGAAGCAATTCGAACAGAGGCAGACTGAAGGGGGGTGTTCCAGATATAAGCAGTCTAGACAACAGCAAACCAGATGAAAGCAATCAAGGCGACGTGGCCCAGGGAGAATTGTCAGATGACGCATCTTCCACAATCACACTCACGTTGCTCGTCTTGTATCCAACGTGGGTGTGCTCCGAATGTTGAGCTGGACAAAGGAGCAAAAGCCTGGCAGAGACAAGAGTCAGCAAGACATCACACAAGGGGTCTTCACAGATCACCTGAATAGAGACACTCTCATGGTTAGCACTGGTGCTACCCGTTGAGCAAACATGGCTATAACAAAGCGTACACCTTCTCACGTCTTCTCCGTCAATATGTTGCGATTGCATCCCAGAGTCTCACTTCATATCATACACTTGGCGTCATGAAAGCCACCCGTCCTAACCCACGAGCTTTCGCCCGAGCTGCTCTTCCCATCATCACTTAGGATCAAAGCCCGGAGAGCCTCCTGAACGCCGAGTTTTCCAAAATCGGAAACTGACCGACCATCTGAACATCCTTGGCCGGCGAATCGAACCTATACTTCCCCATTGCCATTTCGGTTAGGAACCGGCCCAGTTCTTGCGTAGGGCTATGCAGGTTCGAATATCCGATTCGTATGGGGGCCATCATCAGCGGCACAAGGAGCCGGTGCCACATGGGCGGTGTCGGAATATAAGGCTTTATGGCCTCATGAGCGCTCGCGTCGATGCCGCAAGGGCGCACCGAGCTGGCGTGGAAGAGAGGATTCGCTTTGCGCATACTCGCCAGCGCGAGCTCGGTCTCACCTTTTACGCGGGCGAAGATGGCTGCGCCGCGACCAGGCTCGATTGTAGCGCCGTAGCCGGAGACATAGACGAAGTTGAAAGGTTCGCTGTCGGGGGCCAGGCCTTGGAAGGCTTCCGAGGCTGCCAGCGAGTAGTCCTTCGTGATCTTCACATATTCCCTTCCCAGGGTTAATAAGTGGTTAAATTCAAAACAGAAAGTTGTCGGGGCCCGGGTTGACATACTCCTTGCCGACTTGAGTCTGCGAGATTCCCAGGGCCCAGACACATCCCGAAGCACCCTTGAGCTGTGACAAGACCGCCGGATCGTACTTTGAGAAATCATTATGTATGATCACCTTGACACGCGGATCCTTAATGTCTTGGACCATCTTGACGTCTCTCCGGCTTAGGATTGATATCTTGGTGACGTCTTTCATCTTGATCATAGCATCCAGGACGCCGGAGCCAACCAGGCCCTGTTATGGGTGTGTCAGCAAATAGTCTGATTCAAGGTTTAAAGACGTGATTATGGAGGCTTGAGCCAGGTTCGATTTGAACGTCTGGCATTGAATGCCTAGGTGCAGAGTCAAATGCCAAATGGGAAGGGAGGAGGGTGCTCTGTACCGTTGCGCCAGTAAGTATGAGATGCATGTCTGCAACCAGCTGTCTGGAGATAGGGGTGCACCGTAGGCCGTGGGTAGGTGGAGGTACGTCAGGTAAAGGTGGATGAATAGAGGCGGCCTAGAATGACTATTTTCCCGTCAGAGGAGACAGCACGGCGTCTTTTGTAGGTTCTGTTAGCAAACCGAAAGCTGAAGCTAACAGGCAAGGGACAGCAAGGCTACTACCTAGGCTGGCAGGTTACGTGTTGCGTTAACTCCGCCCGTTATGTACGCCCGGCTTTGGGGTCGTTGCGGTGTTAACTCCGGACGCCGGCTACAATCACTTCTGAGGTTGGAACGAACGGATCGAAGAATGCTGGAGAATAATGGCATTTTGTACGCTGGACAAAAATCATACAATCAATCGATACATGCAAGCATACTACCATAGACAACGTACAAACAACGTCGCCACACCCCATCTGCGGTCATTACACACAGGCCAATTGGTACGACATACCATTGCCACTCTGCAATCCATTCCTTCATTTATTTCCCTTCTTGCGGCCAGGGACAACCTTGAAGCCGGCACCGAGCATCGGGTTGGCATCACCGGCTTCCTTGTGACTCGTCTTCTTGGCCACCTCGTTCCAGCCACCCGCACTGCTAGTCTGCGTGTCTGTTGAGGGGCTGTTCGCTGGCTGCTTCTCGATCACGCCCTTCTCCGCCAGCTTCTTGCGACGGATAAACTCCTGCGCAAAGTGACGACCATCCATGGTCTTGGAATTAGCGTATATTGCATCGGAAATGATTTCTTCTACAAGCGGGAACGCGATGAGGGTCGACGCAAAGGTATCGACTTCAAGTATGTCAGCAACAAGAGCAAAGAAAAGGGGTGCTGTCTAGAGGGGAGTCTTACTGTCCGTAACACCTGTAATGCCCCGCGTCAACTGGCTGTTGAGCCACTTGGTGAACTCATTCATGGCTTCAGTGCGGCCTGCACCAGTCGACGTGTTGGCAGTCTTGATCGTGGGTCGAGGAGAAGGGGCCGCCACAACCGCCGGTTTGATGCTGGTTGAACTTGCGGATCGGCCTTGCGAGGCAGGACCAGTGGGTAACTTGACCTTACCACCAGCTCCGACCGTCGCCCACCCTACAGGAGGACCACCAGTCGTGTTGTTACCAGGGGCAGTTGCAGGGAGGGGCATCGCGTTGGGCTTGCTGGCGAGATCGGCGTAGCGCTTGCCGGTACTGGAGGGTACACCAGTCTGCACCGCTAGCTCTTTGGCCTTTAGCTTGCGGGCCTCCTCCTCACGCTGGATGTCGGCCAGCGTCTTCTTCCTATCCAAAGCTTGAGCTGCCGCTGTGAGCCCAGGTGCTGGTCCCTTTCCTGGGGCAGGCTTGGTCCATGGGCTGCTGCTTTGCCCCGAGCTGACGGGCGACGCAGTACCCCAGGTGCTGCTGGTAGGTAGGCCAGGAGCGAGCGTAGTAGCCTTCTCGCGTTCGCGTTCGCGTGCGGCCTCCTGTTCGAGCATGGCCCGTCGAGCCAACACTGCTGCTTCTTCAGCTTTAGCTGCCTTGAGAGCCTCTGCTTGCTGGATCTCTTTCAGGCTCGGGCCCTTGTGAGATTCAGGACCGCTGTCCTTGGCCCAGGGCGCAAGGGTCGGCGGCTGGGTCGATCCAGGAGAAGCCATATCGGGAGTGCCGGAGCGGGAGCTTGTCGCGTACTGCTCGGGCAAATTAGATCGGACACGCTGTGGAGCTGGGGCTGGCAGAGGCGTTGCCGAAGGGGGCGGCGGGAATGGCATTGGGAGTCCGCTAAGCTTTGCCGCCGCTGCGGCTGCCTGAGCGTGTTGATATTCTTTGAACTCTCTGCTGGAAGTTACGGGCGCTGCTGCTTTGCGTGTATGCTGCCCGCTCTCCGACTCGTCTGAATCCTCGGGAATTTGCGACTCGCGGGCTTGAGTACGAGGGCTTGGCATAGCCGGCGCATGTTCTTCCATGTTCTGGCGCCGGGATGCGAATTTCTGCTGCTGCTCCATCATGTCGGCATCGTGTTGTGCCCGTAGTTGCTCGAATTCCTGTAATCGGCCTCGAAAGCCTTCAGCATCTTCAGCAAGCTCGCCACTCCCGGGCAGCTGGCTACGCATGCCAATGGGTTGGGGAGGAGGGTTCCCGCCTACCGCTCCGTTCCCGTGCAGGCTAGCCAACATCTGGCGCTCTGGTACGGACAATCGGGTGAGCTCTTCATCTCGAAACATGTCGAGGCTCAGCCCAGAACTACCATGCGCGGCGGGTTGACGTGTGGCTAGCGACTCCAAAAAAGAACCCCCTGTACCGATGGCACCGATGGGAGCCTGCGGGGGCATGCCGATCGGCGACGTGATGCTCCCGAAACTCGGCTGGCTTTGCAGACTGTGAGCGCTGGAATGATGATTCAGGCCCGGTACACCCGACATCGTACCTCTGCCGGTCGACTGCTGGGTGGACATAAACTCCCGCTGGCGAGCCATCATGTATTGTTCTTCCTGCTTACGTCTCTCCAAGTTATTCTGTTCCTCGGCAGTAAGAGTGCGCCCAAAGGCGGGGAAGGCGCCGACAAGAGGAGGCTGGATCACGCCGCCTGCATTGGGCGAGAACGGACCAGTCTGCGAAGGAGGCCCGTGTGGGATGCCGATCTGGGGCACCAAGAATGGTTCGCGAGAGTTGCCAATTCTTCTTATCAACTGACCTAACGGCTCGAACTCACCATCCTCTACCTTTTTCACTCTAAGGTCTGGCGTGAAGAAGTTGGCCTTGTACCAGTCGTTCATCTCCAGTCCGGTGAAGGGACCTTGCTGATGGCCCTGAGGGTCGAGATAGGTCCAGCGCATACGGTCAGGCATAACCATCGTCCGGGACTGGGCGGAGGGGGGGATCCGCTGCCTGGGTGGAAGGGAAAGCCGGCCCGTTGCTGGTGGGTGTAAAGGCTTGCCCCTGAGAGGCTCCGGGGACACCGCCATGCAGAGACTCCGATGCCCCGGGTGTTCGACCTGGCTCGGCTTGGGCAAACATATCGGCAAAGACGCCTCGACCAGGCCTCATGGGGCTCTCGGTCTCCCGTCCATGATCACCGAGGGGATTGCGTCCGATAGCACCCAGGGGATTGCTCTGACGAAGATCGGGAATGGAGTCGCCAAGGCTCTCGTTGTCATGGGACTGTATCTGGTTCTGCATCTGGTTTTGCATGGCTGGGGGAAACAACGAGCCAAGTTTGCTTCCGCGACCAAAGGAACCAGAAGTTCCAATACCCGTGGTCGACGCAGGACCGAAGACGCCGCCGAGGTTACCTAAGCTTGGCGACTGAAGATCGCCCATACCGCCAAACAGCGAGCCGCCAAACCCTGTAAAGGGCGCCCGTTCGCGATCCGGCGTACCGGAGGATGGCCACCCGGTCAGATTGCCCAGTGGGTAAACCTTCGCACCGACGCTCGATGTCTGACTGCGGTCGCTACCGTCAAAACCAGGGTGAGCGAAAGAGCGTGGTAATCCGCCACCGTAGGCAGAGGCTTGCTCTGAACTACCGCCTAGCCCATGCAGCTTGTCTCCAGCATCATCATGCTCGCCGCGATCTCCGGGGGGGCTTCGGTAAGGGTTGGTCTCGGAAGGACTCAGAGGTGTGTTCTCATGATCGGCACGGCTGCCCAGGTTCAAACCAGACATTCCAAAGTCACCAGCAGAGCCCTTCACCGGTGTATCATAAAGAGGCGGGTGGGTCATCGGAGGCGGGCTGGTGTCTTGGGCTCCCCCTAGCATGGCACTCCCCGAGATACTTTCGTCCCCAAAGGGATCGGTATCGGTACGATGACGGGGGCGCCAGGAACGGCCTGGGTCCTCATTTGCCTTGTTTGTCATGCTCTCAGAGCTGTCCCTGGGAAGCAGATGGGCCAAGCGGCTTTCACCGCGCGCGTTGCCAGGACGTTTCTCCCCAACTGCAGAGCCAGCGAGGGCGAAATTGCCGAAAGTGCCCATCCCCGGAACATTGGGTGCAGGGGACGAATGCCAGGGAGAAGATGCGCCAAAGCCCGGGCTGCTCGGAGTCGTGTTGTTACGCACCAGACCACCGAACGGCAAAGGCTTCGTTGGGGCATCGCGAATGTCAGCTTCCTCCTCGGGCTCCTCGAAGGTCGAGTCCTTCAGGTCCGTGTTCCGTCGAGCGAGCCAGAACGGAAGATCATCTCGTGGGGGGCGGATTGCAGAGGTCGGCGAAGTCAGCCCGCCGGCAGAATACGGGTTCGTGTCGGTCGTCTCCCTTCGTCTCGTGCCCGGTCGCGAGGCGGTCGAGGGTGAAGAAAGACCGAAGTTGGAACCGCCATGAGAGACCGAGGTTTTACGACCATTCAAAGCTCCGCCAGCATGGTGATTACCATCCTTGTTCTGCGCGGGAGGCTTCATGGTAGAGTTGACATCGGACGCGAATAGCTAAGCATGGTTAGCGTGAACACGCACATATCTCGGGATGGACTCACGTCTCTCTCCTCGGCGGTCATGTCTTGCAATCCAACAGCCCGGTTTGAGCCAGGGGCATCCCAACAAATATCTGGATCCTGAGGCACAACATGGGAGTCGCCGCTCTTGCCCCAGCCGCGGGCGGCGCCGCCATTGACATGGCCAGGATTCCACCCAGGCATGAACAAAGTCGAAACATCGGACGGTTGCGAGTTCTGCGTGACACTGAGAATGGACAAAAGCTCGTCTCGTGTATATCTCTGAGGTGCTGGGCTGTCTACAGCGGTCGAGCCCACGGGCATGGCAGAAATTACGGCAGGGTCGGCTGAAGCTGCTGAATGTAGCGAATCGGTCGCGTGCTGGCTAGAAGGCGTGGCAGAGGTTCGGCGGAAGGTTAGAGTTCCGTTGGTGGATCGTCCCGCACGAGACCTGTTTTTGAGGGAAGCCAGACGTTAGCTGAAGCTGCTTTAAGCCAAGATGAAGGCGATGGGGAGGTCGGAGGGCGCGAGGATGGGTAGAGGCAAACAGCAACGCCCATCGCCACGGCGGTGAAACAGGTGAAATACAACGTACCAGTCTCCGCTGGAGCTGCCGCGACCATCGGTTCTCGCGCCAGCTCTTGCGTCGCGACTGCCAGCAGCGGCCGAAGCGAAGCTGGACGGTAAGTTTGAAGGCATCTTGGTGCAAGACGTGGAGGGTCGAGTGTCGGGATAGAAGGTCTATCGAGAATGGGACGGCAGGTGTCAGGTCACGTCGTGATGTGCGCGAACAAGTGGCGAGGCTCGATTGATTGGCACGGTCTGCAGTGGCGCGCTTGCTGTTGCTATAGTGCGTGATGGGTGATGGGTGATGCGTAATGCGTGTTGCACGTACAGGTATATGTAGGTGGCTGTTGGCTGTTGGCTGTTGCTGGTGGTTGTCGTGGGTGACGAGGTGACGAGGTGACGAAGTGAGGTGGTGACGGAGGTCTGAGGTCTTGTACAAGAGATGTCGAAATTTCAATTTCAGACCTGGACGCCGAGAGTTTACGGAGTGCCCACAGAGGTAGCCTCAGCACAGGTACGCTTGAGACGAAGCTAACGGGAAGCACGGGCCACCTGCAGCTTCTGTGACCCGGTCTGTGCTACGCCATCAAGTCGGTTGCCCCATATAACAGGTTACTTGCATAACCTACATAACTGCTAATCCTTAGGTACCTATTCAATGCATTCACCTGCATTAGAAAATCCCGACTTTGCTCTGCCGCAGTACATGCTTTTTCCTTTTTTCTTGTTGATCTCGTTATTGGCGTATCTCGAACCCCAAGTAGGCCAGGCGTATGGGTGTCTTGAGCTATGTGTTAAGGGAAATTTAAATCGTGCAGCATTATAACTTGTCGTTCCATAGTATCTTAACCAGCGGCTTATGAGCGCGAATGCCCTCAATGGAGTAGGGAGGCTGCCTTAATCATGCTATACATCCCATCTCGGAGCTTAAAAGTTACAAAAGATCGTGGGAGAAATCTATTTGGAACTGGAAAAGGTTCTTCCCCAGAGTCCGCCATCCACCGAAACTTGACTGCATAGGTTAGTATCGAAGCTTTGAGCCTCCACGAGCGACCTGGTCTCGAGGGACTTCATGTACGCTTTCGTTGCGCTCCGGGGCTTATAAGTCACAGTGGTCCTTTCGACAATGATGATACTGTGGTCCTCTCTCGTTAAGGCTTGAGCCATATTGAGCAGTGGCGTTGAGGTTCAGGGGTAAGATTCCATAGGGTTCATTCACTTTACTCAAGCTTGCGGCGGAGCCTGATTGACCTCAAGATTAATACCATCTCTCGATCTGCTGGGTTGGGAACACGAAGTCTCTAGTTAAGTTAATACTCGCAAATCTTGTGGCCCACCCAAACGGTCATAACAAGATTGCCGTGTGTAAGATGCAGCTTGCTTCTCGTACCATTTACATAGTCAGCGGGAAGTCTTCAGGTGTGATAATATGTGGTTCCACAGGACCAGCGCATACACAGGTGAAACGGTACATCTGATTCAATGAGCATCTAGTAGTAGCGATGAACATTTTCCAGACACCTTGACCTTGATATCGATATCTTGATCGGCTCAAATCGTCAATTACAGCAATCTCAGTATTCGAAGCGCCACCGCGGGTCTTCATCTCCCCTCCAGTCCGTGAGTACGCCCACGTCCTTGGTCTCTTCAGCTATTCCCTGTCGCCTTTTGTTCTCCTTCTTGAGCATTAAGCCAAGTATTGTGACGACAATCACGTTGGCCAGGAGGTAGCCCAAGGCAACCGAATGACCCACGACGAACCTCGGCCCGTCGTTGCTCCGGTAAAGCTGAGTCCCTATCACGGCGCCGCAGTTCCCTATGCTGATCTGCATCGCGTTCGCAATGGCGCGCTTTGTCTGTCCCGAGACGTTGATGGCAGGCCAGGATAGGACGAGGGCGGTAGCAGGGTAGATACCACCAGCTGCGAAAAAGATGGCTGCGTAACTGACTCCTGGTCTTGCAACAGGGTCGGTGTTGCCAAGTAACATGCTGTATCCTATGGCGGCGAAGAGTGCTGATCCGCCGATGAAGATGGCTCTTTGGCCTAGTCGCTCCGATAGAATTGCCACCGCGACGGTTGTTGCGAAAGCGAACGCACTTCGGGAATAATATATCAGTGGTTAATTCCCTTGCGTGGTTAGAGAGATGCGAAATCTCTGGGATCCTCGGCAGAAGTAGAAATATACTTGAGGCAAGACCAAAGGTGGAGCAAGTGACTCGGGAAATCACATACTAAGGGGGCACGGTAAGTAGCTGCGCGGTCGCTGCTGTGTAACCTAAGTTGGAGATGATAGTCGGCTGGTCGGACATCAGCTTACATATACCAGATCTCCTCGTTGAGCAGTGAACCTACCAGGAACAGTGACAGTGTGTAAAGGGGGAGGCTCATCGTATGGAATCCAAGTCCGTACAGCCAGCATTTCGGGTCCCGAAAGGCTTGCCAAACAGCATCCCAGGTGAAGACTTCGTCATGGGTCGCATCACTGTCGGCTGCTAGTCGTTGATGGATGAACGTGCGCTCGTCTTCCGACAGGAACTTCGAGTTGCTTGGATAATTGTACACGAAGCCATACGAAGCAGCTGCGACGAGGACCGTGACAATCCCCTCCTATTTTCGGGTGAGACATTCTGCCAATCCACATAGTTCATGAACGGGCCAATACTGACCAGAATGAATATCCAATGCCAGCCGTTCTCCCAGACAATTCCTCTCATTCTTCCAATGCCCTAAGGTTACAGGTTAGTCATCGAGGTGCCAGGGCCAGTGATCTAGACCAAACTCACATATGCTAACGCACCACCGAACGCGCCCGCGAGAGATGCCGCGCTGAAGAACATTGATACACGATATTGACGTTCTCGTCGCTTGTACCACATCGAGAAATAGAACACCACCCCAGGGAACAAACCACTCTCAGTGACTCCGAGGAAGAACCTAGCTGCATAAAACCCTCCCGTGTTCTGCACTATTCCCAGCAGTGTGGCCACTATGCCCTGTAGGACCACAAAGTCAGTTAGATGTTAAGCTCCAGGAGTACTCGGAATAGTCAACGCATGGCAGTCATTCGAGGGCCCAAAATCAAGAGTGTAAGTGCATCCAACATTTTCTGAGCCAAAAGGGGGGAAAGCTCCCAACAAATCGAAGAATAATTCTCACCCATGCAATTGTCAGGGTTGGAAGCCATATCTTAGGACTAGTACGTTTGAGTGCGATGTTGCATGGTATCTGTCTTCGAGTCAGTATGGAGTTTGAAACGTAGAAGTCCCAAGTCGAAAGTGGCATCACTGACCTCAAACAGTACATAGCCAACGAAGTACAAGGTCAATCCGTTGAGGTATTGGTTTCCAGCTGCATCGCATATCAGCCCAGTGGAGACCATGCAGTACTCAGTTCACCTACTCATATGAAGATCGGTCAATAGACCCTCAATTCTCGCATTGCCGACTTAGGGGCATCAGTAGGAGACTTGGAAATGCATGGCATGTTGCCTCACCGTTGCTCCGATCCAGGAAGCTCAGCAAGTACAAGAGACTAGAAAGTGCGAGATCAGTTGCCGCAACGTGACCATACGAAGCTGGCAGGCCGAAACAGTTTCAGCCGTTCCGACATGGAATTGACATACCCGACTGCTGGCAGCAGTTTCCTATCCAACCTCCTCAGCAGTGAGCGCTCATTGACAACAGGCCCAGTGGTCTCAGAGTCAGAATTGACAGGACTGTCTGCCACTCTCTTGAGTTCTCTATCATTCGTCGTAGCCATGGTCGGGAATATTCGCGTCGTCGAGTAGGGGGTGCTTTCCAGCTACACCGTACACGATGAGGGAAGACTGGCGGCGAGAACCTGGATATATCTCAAATTGAATGAGGCGCGAGTCAGCCGTTCGCTTTCTTACCAGGTTCACGGCGCCGGATCAATGGCATCATAGACGCCATTTGTGATGTTGCGATGCGATTGGGATCATGGAAGACTGACTGCAGTCCGTGATTGGATGAGGGGCAGCACGCCTTGACCCTTGCTCGATCACGACATTGGGCATCCCGCCATCGCCATGACGCCGGCAACTGCAAGCCCAGATCGGGTCAGATATGTAGTATGTATCAGTCAAAGGCTCGACACATCAATTGGCATAGTCACAGTGTTCACTGATGGATCCAATGCGGGTATTCATTGCGTGTGCGACTGCAAGGTGTAACGTTATTACCCTCTGCTAGGGATGGCACTATGAAGTTCCTAGGTCAGAACATCCTGCCCAGTCAAAGGATCAGCGGAAACTACTTTTGTTCGGTTTATTGTTATATTGATAAGATGGAATGGTCTTTATGTAGGAAATAAGTTGCGAAATATGACGCATGGCGTAAATATGTACATATGGAAATCAAGTCCACCCTCATTACAATTCCGAGACCGCACGACTCGATGTTGTACGTGGAACAAACGCCTTCGTGTAAGCCTTGGACGCGTATGTGACGACTAGGTTAATGAAACAGGTCATAGTTAGTAGTGGAAATCATATTCCAGAGTCATCCTGCACGATGCTCTGCCCGCTTTGGAATGTCGTCCATGTCGAACAAGAATCCATCAATGCATCGCCGTCCGTGGTTGCGGCTATTTCGTCGTATCTCTCCACGAACTGCAACGCGAAGCCTTCGCTGGTATGCCATCCAATGTGACACTTAATATGGGGTCAGTAAACGGTTCATGCAGGATTCTCGGGAAGTTACTCACATGCATGAGCCACGCGCCAGGGTTGTCTGCCTGGAAGGCTATGGCGAGATAGCCGCTGGCTGGCAGCATTGCCGTATCCCTTCGAGGGGGGTTGGCGGTGTTCAAGCTGACACTGCTGGAGTAGTCGCCTGTGCCCTGAGCGAGCACGAAGAAGTCGTGGCCGTGGAGATGGATGCTGTAACCGTGGTCAGTAAGGACGAAGACAGGATGGTGCCTCGTCGTGTCCAGCCAGGACTAGACAGGGATGAGAAGTAATTCGGCGTATTACTTACGGATGGGGGATAGAAAGGGTCGTGTCGATTACCAGATAAACCCATTCATCGGCGGTTGGCAACTGGATCACGGCATCGCTCGTGTCGAACGTGGTATTGCCATTCACGACCTGGAGAAGCGTAGGGTCCTCCCAGTCAACAACCATCGAGGTACTGTTCAGTGTCCATTTGAAGAGGCCATCGGTGATTGCGGTGCCGGCTGCCGTTTCAGAGTCAAAACCAGCAGTGCCAACGGTCTTGGAGATGTACGGCACGAGATTATCAGTCTCGTCATCGCAGGAGTCCGTGTAATCCCAGCCGTCAGTGGTGGGTGTTGACGCTGTATCGGCATACGTCACAATAGCCCGAATGTTGTCGGCATTGTCGTTCTCAGAAGAACAGGCCGACTGTGGAATGGCCCGCATCCAGAAGTTGTCTGCTACCGAGGCTCTATAGTTGCTCGTGTCAGTGTTTTGTCAACTAATGAGTGGAGTGAGTGTCGACGGGTCTGGACTTGAGTTCATCCACGTCTTGCCCGTATACGACCGTCGACGCTCTAGGATGCGGAATTTGGAGGTGATAATGATTGGGGGAGTCGCTTACTGATCTGCCGTCACGATAACGTCGTATCGTTGTCCTGCATGTCGAATGTCAGTGGTATATCGAGTGAGTTGAGCGTGTGCCGGCTTACCCATGCCAATATCAAGAACAGTGGTTTCATAGGGTTCGATAGGTATCAGATCTGATGCAATCACCTGCAACGTGTGGTTGTCGATGGAGAACTTGAAGTGACTGTCAACAGCGCCATTGACGAGTCTCATCCGGTAAGATGTGCCCGAGGTGAAGGACACCTCGAGCCTCGAGCCACCGTCATCGTAGACATTGGTCCCGTTGATGAGCCCGTTGTCCAGCGTTGGGGGGCCGCCAGCTTCCGCTTGCTGGTACAACTCGTCGACGGTTTGATGATCCCAATCAGATAGGAAGACGATGCCAAGATCTTCGTCGTAGTTCGCAGTAGCCGGGCCGTTGATGATGATACCTCCTGCTATGCCTTCCCAGGCTTGCAACGCGAAGTGTGAGTGGTACCATGTAGAGCCATATTGCATCGCTCTCCAGCTGTAAGTCACCGAATCGCCAGGGGCGGTAGGACACTGTGTAATAGAGGAAACACCGTCGTTCTCATTCGTGTAGTTCTGGCGGATGCCATGGAAGTGGATGGCTACGGGGTCCAGAATTAGCTGCTGATATCTTGAGAAAAGAGCAGGGTCTGGCAGTGACGGTGAATTTGCGAAAGGACTAGAATAAAGATTTGAACGTCAACGCCGGAGCTCCAGGCTTTACTTACAAGTTCCATTTTGCGAAGTGGTCAAGGAATTAGTAACGTGGACGACCACAGTGTCACCCCAGTCGGCAAAGATAGTTGGCCCAGGGATGGAGCCCTGTAAGACATTTAGCAGAGTTCCGAGAGTAAGGGGCCGTTGTAAGCGTCGAGGCTCTCTAGCAAGAGGGTGGTATGGGAAGAAACAGATCGAGTTCTAGACCTGAGTAGACTTACATTGACGGCCATAGCTGAGCGGGAGACACCATCGGGGGCGACAGTGACATCAGTCAGCTCGAACCAATACTCCTTAGTCACTCCAGTGTCTGGGACTTCCGTGGTATAGTCTGTGTCGATGGAATAGTCGCACCACTCATTTCTGGTTGATGCTGTGTTCCCTGAACATGCCGCTCGTGGGTACAGGTTCGACGACGGGGAGAAAGGAGACGCGGCAGTCGGGGTGGAAAGTAGTGACGACGCAACGAGGGCGAGACTCCAAGCTAACATGGTGGAACTAGCCAAGTGGCTCTTCAATCTCAAAGCCTGAAAATGATAGAAAGAACGGCTTCGGGCTGACGTCTCAGGGCCGCGTATAGAAAGATTGACAAAGAAGGGCAGTGAACGACGATGATGTCCTTTCTCATGCCGGACTCGAAAACGCAACAGAGCACTCTTTATGCTTATGACTTCTCGGCAGGCCTCAGGAGTCGGGACTCGTTTGCCATCCATGGCGCCACACGATACATCGTGAATGTGGATGACCTCTCTCGTGTAGGATTCAAAGCAGACGCGGTCGATTACCCGACTCGCATGACAACCCACAATCAGTTCACACACAGACGTGATAATCTCCACGTGAAGGAGCAGCGCCTCGAACACACTGCCTCGCTCTCGTGTCCATGTCGAGTGCAATCTAACCGCTTGTGTCGCACCGCAACGGGACGCGTACGCAGCAAAGGCAAAGCGGCTGGCGTTCTGTCAGCGTCCACGAAGCTGATAGGCGAGGTTCCTGGGCTGATAGACCGTGGAGGAAGCTCTAACCGAGCCCTGTTGTGAGGGCTGGCACGAGTCCGGTGCGACCCGGCCGAATCCACCGGGGCATGATATCGAAATAGAACCGCGATCCGGGGGCTTCGAAAATTTGCGGCACCGGCCCGTCACAGACCCATCGTAAACGATAGTCCGCTTTGATATTGGGTCTGGAATGGGGAGGACGCCTCATCACGCCCTATCGTCAGGACTCTCATGGGGCTCGGCGCCGCGACACGTGTGTCAGAGGTTACGAGGCTTTTTGTGGGCTACCGGAGACCTCAACGCGCCTTATCGCTTTGACAAGTGAGGTTATCGCTGCCCACCAACTCGACGAAGATATTATTGCTGACAGGATTCATAGCCGCGCACTGCGAAGCCCGGAAGCCTGGTTGTACCTGCATATATGCAGGAATGGCATTACGTGTGCTCCAAGGGGCGACCCGGTACCGGTATACGCCACCCCACAACCCGGCGACGGGGGCCCAGACGACGACTTCCATTGTTCACGTAGCAGCGCGGGAGAGGGGGTGCTGACGAATCTATAAGCAACATCACAGGGGTATTGGGGGGTATGAAAGGACCGCCTCGTGGTCAATATCTTCTACCAACAGCATGCGACCAAGTCGATCAGCTCTCTCGCGACTCTTGCAAGGCCACAAGACATTCTCCACCGGTTACCATACCTACCTCTGGCTGCTTCTGATCTCCTACAAGCTTGTTCAAGATCTCGTCCCTGTCGATCACTGCTATAGTCCATCATGCGTTTTCAAAACCTCCTTCCTCTTGGGCTGCCCATGGTGCTGGCAGGCTCACCCGCGGCTATGAAGCGAGCCCCTACGGGGCCGTTCAATCTGTATGCCTATGGTGATGGCATCGGCGGCGCACCCGTCTTTACATCTGGCGGTAGGCAGATAGTCACCAATTCCGTTGTCTGGACCGTTGCTGATATAGCTGCAGATGTCGCCTACCTTGGCAACAAGTCCGAGTTGAACGATGCTGAAGCGTCGCCTGTTCTATGTGAGTCAAGAGGACGAAAAGAGCCTCCACCGACTTACCCTCATGCTAACATTGCTCTGCACCTAGTCACGGTTGGTGCCAGCAACACCCTGTACGGGAGCCCGAACGTCACGGACGAGGAAACCACGCCATCATGGTCGAACGTCACGTTCTACGTTCCTGGCCCGGCCTCCTCCTCGCACACAGTTGGTTTCACCAATTCAACCCCAGAGACCAATGTATCAGCCTCGGGATTCATCTTCTACGGCCAATTTGCGCTTCACGAAAATGCGGACGGTAACCTCGAGACGCTCTGGTATGCAACACCTACCGAATATGACGGTGTGTGGTCTCTAGACTGGAACACCACGGACGACGAGAGCGAGGAAGCCGTCCTGGTCACCTTGAAGAGCACCGCACCATCCAAGCCACTGCTGGACAAGGAGTAAATCCGGGGGAGAACTGACTTGTGTGGTATGACTGCTGCATGACAGGCTTCAGGGGCAGATTGCTTTGTTTCGCCTGGGACTCGATTCAGATCGCCAGAGGTTGTAGCGGTTGTCTATATGTCCAGCAGTGATGTCTTCGGCTTGGAAGAACGACAATGCTTACCGGCTTTCATTGAGATAAAAATTGTTTCATTTCTTGTACATACTTTGATTTATGAATTGGCTCGCCGCACGAGGACTTACTATACACCTTTCGATCCAACCTCGTTTCTAACAAATCAAGGAAACGAACATGCTTGAGGTTCAGGAAGCCTTGATCTCGTCGTCAATGAAGTAGGGACCCTGACAAGCACAGAATGGGAGAAGAGGAGCGACAGGTTGAAGGAGATCAAAACAAAATGTCCTTAACACAGTAGGCGTGGTCCCTACATACTAGTAGGGGGCGCCGTCTCGATGGCGCACAAACCTCACAACAGTTGTGCAATGATAATGTGGAGAAATGCAATGACAGCCCTGTGAAACCCCACCACGAGCAGCGACATCGCTTCCAGTTTCACATTATTACACTCTGGATTGACAGGAGGCTGGGAGGGCGCGACAGCGGACGCTCACCTCTGTATACCTACATATTCGATCTATCCATGAAGACCAAGTTGTCAATACTTACCACGCTCCTCATTCATCCGAGAGGCTCGATCCAACCGTCCAGGCACTTGCCTCGATATCCACCTACACATCCACAATGGCACCCACGGCTTGCACTGTTCGACACGCACGTCGAGAAGGTAGCATGGCCGACTCTTCCCGAGATGCAGGTTGGATGGGTACTGACCTGGTTGCCTATATTCAGACGTACCCACAATCCTCCAACTGATTCGGGAGCTGGCCGACTACGAGCACGAACTCGACGCCGTCGAAGCTACCGAGGCAACTCTTCTCTCTACTATAGCCTTCGCACCCGACAATGCCGAGTCTACGCCCACGGCCCCAAACACCGAGCCTACATCGCCCAGCAAACCGGCACGGTGTCTCCTGCTCTTCAACGGCCAAGACCGGCCTGCAGGAATGGCCCTCTACTTCTACAACTATAGTACCTGGCGCGCCAAGGCCGGCATATACCTGGAAGATCTATTCGTACGGCCGTCGGAGCGGAAGAAGGGCTTTGGGAAGAGGTTACTCGTCGAGCTAGCCAAGGAGGTCGTGGCTACGAATGGTGGGAGACTGGAGTGGAGCGTCCTCAAGTGGAACGAGCCGAGCATCAAGTTTTACGAATCGATAGGCGCAAACGCCATGAACGACTGGGTCGGCATGCGAGTCGATCGTGAAGGCTTGACCAAGCTTGCTGGCTTGTTAGACTGAGACCACGCCGAGGGTTGTAAGTTGGCGTAACGCAGCTGATAGCCCGGGTTGTAGAGGCATAAACGCAGATATATGTCATCTTCCACGTTTCCGAGTTGCTGGCTGTAGCCCCCTTCCCGCCTTCCCAACGTCCTGGAAAAAGACAAGGTCTCGAGTGGAGGGAGGGGATAGCTTGGGATCATTGTTGCCCCAGGTCACCAACCACTTCCCGTTCCGGGAATTTCGCTCGATGATGGGGGATGCGTCCCACACGCGACCATATAAACCGCGCTTCAGTTTTCGAGGACCTAGGACCCGGACACCAATGGGACGCGCGGGACCGCGAGGGTCTTCGCCTTCCTCCGCCGTCAAGCTCTTCATCTTGCGAGAGTTGCCCCTCTCGTTGGCCCGCGCAGGTCTCGTGACGTATTTGGCCCAGTCCCATTGTATGGGGTTTGTTAGGTCTGAGGTGGATTGCGCAACCGGTCGTCTAACAGGCGATCTCAGCTCGTCGGCGCCAGCCTCGCCCCGTGTCAGCGCACGCAAACGTTCCCATTCTCCGCTGGGCAAAGGTGGCAGCAATTGTCGAAGGACGCTCGCCCAATGTCTCTTGAGTTTGTTCCTGGCCAGGCCCTTGTGTAGCGGTCGACCGAAAGAATTCTCTGTCGGGATGACGTCCTTGGGCCGCAACTGACGACGCATGAGATGAGGCCAGTCTTTGCTTTGCCGCTCGACTTGGCTTGAGGCGATAGCAAAAATCTTGTCGACAGCCCAGTTATCGAGCCAGTCGGGGGCTCTGTCGGCGCTCAATGTATTATCGTCTTGTAGAGACTTGACCTCGTCCTCCAGTCCGGCCGTGTCGTTGGCGGGTCGTTGGCTCAGGTAGGCAGCAGACAAGCGGCGCCTTCGCTTGCCCACTCTCCCGGTGGCGAGGTAGCACAAGTGCAACAAGCGCTCTAGATGGCCGCCATTCGCAGATCGGAGGTACCGTAGGCTGTGGTGTGCTTGTTGGACATAGGGTTTCGGGTCCTCCTTGGAACGACAATCGCGGAAGCGTGTCTGGATGCGCGAAGCTATCCACGGGCGGCAGAGAGGAGGAAGGTACGAAGCTTCTCGGAGGAGTTGTCGATAGAGATGGAGAGGAGCAGTCGGATGGGGGATCTGCAGAGGCATGGCGGCTGTTGTCAATCAAGCGACATGGTAAGTAGCATCGCATTCGGCAAGAATTCCAAGCAGAGCAAATGGATGAAAATCGTTGGAGCTGGAGGTCTTCGGTAGGTCACATCAGCCTATGGAGGTCGAGGTAGAAAGAGCTTAAAGTGGAACCACGTCGGTGTTGTCTTCCCCGTTCTCCGTGTTGTTATAGACATGTAAGCAAGAGGTATGAACTGGAACTATATATATTCTCTAGCATTCTGGCCCTTCTCTCAAGATTGACACCGAGGTACTAGTCTGATAAGTTTTATCGTTACGCAACATGAGCATAAGGTATTTATCTCATCCGCTAAGGTAAGGTACGCCACGGTTACCGTTAAAACCCCAGCGTCCTATATAAGGCTTAAGTTAAGCAGCCTTTTAAGCTTTGTTATAGTCGTTTTTAATATAAATATATTGCTATAATTAAAACGAACTAATTAAACCTGTTTATTCTACTTTGAGTTTTTAAACGTTTATTTTTATAGTTTAAATATATTTAAATATACCCGCTTATAATATTTAGAAACGGTTATATAATAAGTGCTTTATATAGCTATATTATTTATAAAGTTTCTTACTTATTATATAGTTTAAATGTTGGATCCATACAATTCCACATTCAAACCATCCATACCGAACCCACATGTATGATTAGATAAGAGATTAGATACCGGATTGTAAGGTCACTTAGCCAGACCTACGAGTCAAGCTAGATCTTTCAATCCAACCATCAGCAATATCATAACCTTAACCCAATACTCGAGTATTATTATTGATCGTTCAAGCCTGTTCCAACATTAAAAAACTAATAAAAAATATATAAATAAAGCCTGTACGCGTGTTATAATTATCGTTTTTATAATATAACTATTATGTTTAACTTTAATCGGATTTTTCTTAACAAAAGCTAACTAATTAACTAAATGGATATATCTTAAAATAAGTATATATAAAGTATAGTTATAAGTATTATTATTAACGGCGTATAAACCTTTTTTAAAGTTAATAAAGCTGCTTTTTATTAAAAGGCGGCGTCATTTAACTGGTTATATAACAGCGTTTTTAAATAAATAGTACTTGTTTTTTAGTGTTTATACTACCCGTTTTAATTATAGTTAATACTATTAAACTGTTAAGCTTTAAAGCGCGTAACCTTAAGTATATATTAGCATTTACTTTTTAAACTACGCGAAGCGTAAACCGAAATGAGCTAATAAAAATTTATTCAAAGCTATAATTAATCGATAACTTATAAAGCGTTATCATAATTAAAATCTATTTATTTGAAATCTATTTCTTTATTAGAATTATTATTTAATTTTATATTAATGTTTTGTTAATTTTAGCTGATTATCAGACGTAATTTCCATTGAAATATCGGTTTTTTCGATAACTAACTTGTTTTTTAAAATAACCTTTTTTTAAGCATTTGTGAGATTCTATAAGGGTCACAAGCCTTGTGGGTGTGAGTGGTTGCTGCAAACGTTGTTGTCATTCTCAAATATGCTTGGCAGGGCTAATCTACAGCTAAATACTATACTGCACCATGCCAGGGTGGATCCACTGGTCTCTTAGCAGCCCTTTAGCGGGTACTGCACCTAAGGGCATTATATCTGGGAACCAACATTTGACAGTATTCATTAAGATCGTCGCGTTGTTAAACTACACCTCGGTACTTTATAACCGTAATACTTATTATTATATTTAATGTGAGAATATTGGTGTGTATTAAGTGTGTGCTGCAGTTGGCAGTAGGCTGAAAGGGGTGAAAGGGACCCAAAGGGGGTGAAAGGTCCATTGTAGTGACTAGTGGCAGGTTTGTTGTTTATTGTTAGGCAGCCGGATATTGTCACAGCGAGCATACTGGGGAGCTGGGACATGGCCTGTAGCAAGCAGCTATTACTCTATTGACGAGAATATCAAGACTAGAAAGGAAAGAAAGAGAGAGAGAGATAGGTACAGCGGGAGGTTGCCCCTTTAAGGGGATCTGTCATGGTCTGGTATAGGTAGCCCATGTGGTGAGTCCTGGAGCCCGGACATGAGTACATGTACCACCATTGAATGTCAAGCTGCCACGCTTGGTATTCGACATCCTTTTGTGAGGAACAGCCGTGGCATGGTGGTTATAGTGAGCGTTCCGTCACAGGATCCTCTGGTCAGATCCTTCCCTTATTGGGAAGTATCAGCTTGTCATGTGGGAAGGTCTGTGCAGGCCGTCACAGATATCAAAGGGCTCGCACAGCTGTATTTAGGTGGGAATATCCCCTATAGATCTATAACCAAGACACCGAACCTGATCCATCCCATTCTGACCCCATTTGTGACGTTCCGTATATGTGAATAGGACATAGAAGCCCTTTACGTATAACTATCTCTGGCTGAAGAGGAAAAAAAAGATTGAGCGGCATAGCCAAATCTGGTGGGCAACTAGATAAGTGTGTCTGCTCCACAATTTAGAGCCCTAGTGGGTCTGGGACAACCAGTCGTCTAGGAGGTCACGTGTCACGGCAAGCGTACTGAGGAGCTGGGACATGGCCGGCAGCAAGCAGCTATTACTCTATTGACGAGAATATCAAGACTAGAGAGGAAAGGAAGAGAGAGAGAGAGATAGGTACAGTGGGAGGTTGCCCTTTTAAGGGGATCCTCTGGTCAGATCCTTCCCCTATTGGGAGGTATCCACTTGTCATGTGGGAAGGTCTGTGCAGGCCGCCACAGCCGTCACACTACTCCCCCCCTTATCAAAGTCGGTTTACGACGATGATTTCTTACGAGTTCTTCTTACTCCTTGTGCAGAGCCCCTTACAGGCAAGTTGTCTTCCTCATGATCAGTTAGGTCCTGATCATCAGCAGCAGCCTCTATCCATTGCTGTAACCTTTGAGGTGGACCTAGCGCTTTGGGATTTGCCTCATGGAACTCTTTGACGCGTACAGCTGAGCCTCTGAAGTTAGCTGCTGGGTACCACATCGGGTCAGGATCATGACCTGTCCATTCAGCCTGGTACTCCAGCTTGCCCCGGGTTTGGCGGGAGGACAGAATTTTGTTAACTTCCCACTCAGGAACCCCATCCACGTTGACGGGAGGCGGTGGAGGGATCACCTGACCTGGGACAGGGTTATTTGGTAACCGTACTAAGCGGCTTGCATTGATAACCCGATGAGCGTTTATCTCAGGGGGTAAGTCAATCTCAAAGGCATTCTCATTGACCTGTTTGATAACCCGATATGGTCCCATATAGGGGTTGTCCAACCCATCATGTGGGCGGTCAGTGCGCCATGCTTCTTTGCGGACATATACCATATCTTCTGGCTTCCAGTCGATTGGTCGTCAGGATTTGTCAGCCTGTTTCTTGTACTCTGTTTGTGCCTTAAAGAGGTTGGTTTTGGCCCATGCCACAGCCTGTGCCCGGCGTTCAGCAAACTCTTGAGCGTCTGAACGACTCAGCTGCTCTGTAATAGGCGTCTTTCTTGAGAGAGGACTGCGTTTATCCCAGTCAAACGTCATGACTGGAAGAAACCCCATTTCAACCTCAGCTGGAGATAAGCCAGTACTTATATGAGGTTGTGTGGCGTAAGCAAAATCCAGATAGGGCAGCAATTGAGACCAGTTATCCTGAAAATGGCTTATAAAGGGTCGGAGCTTGGTCTGGAGGAACTGGTTGATGATTTCTGTCTGACCATCCGTCTGAGGGTGCTCTGCAGTAGAGCGGCGTAGGTCCATCCCTATAAGCTTAGCTAGTTCATCCAAAAAGGCAGCAATGAACTGGGGACCACGGTCTGAAGTTACAGTCTCAGGGGTGCCATAGACCCTCAAAGGTCCATTGAAGTATAAGGTGGCAAGGTCCTTGGCTGTACATGTCTTATATGTTGGAATAGACCACGGGCGTTTGCCTAGTCGGTCTATCACCACATAGATTGTGTCATAGCCTAGCTTGTCTTTTGGCATGGTCTTGAAGTCCATAGAGACATGTTGCCAAGGACGATCTGGTATAGGCAGAGGCTGTAGCAAGCCGGCTGGCTTAAGACGGGAATTGCGGCCTCTGCCACATTCTGGGCAATGAGCGCAATAGCGGTCTATAAAAGCACCCATACCAGGCCAGGAATAACGCTCTGTTACTAAGGCACGCATCTTGTTCCGACCAGGGTGTGCACGGGAAGGTAGTCTGTGAATCTCATCACAAAGTTGTGTGTGTAGGTGCCCCTTATCAGGCACCACAAGGCGTCCCTTTTTCAATAATAAGCCATCAACAAGACTATAACCCTGCTGACTGTGTTTGGCTTTTTCCCGCTCAAGGAGTAGGGTCTCTGAAGAGCGGTTGGCTGTCAAAATGGCATCAATAAGCTGAACACCCTCTAGAGAACCGTCTGGGTCCTGGTTGTTGGCTTTCAAGGTGGCCACAATAGCACATACCAGGTTGTCTTCTGGACTAGATGACGAGTCGGTCACAGGCAGGTCAACGGGTCCATTGAACCTTTTAACAGGTAGGAGGATCTGGCGGCGACTTTCATCCTTGATGGCCTTTTGTGTAGCCAGATCTATAGCTTTCCGTGATAGAGTATCAGCTATCAGGTTCTCCCTATCTGGATGGAAAGAAATGGTGAAGTCCAGGCCCGAGATATCCTTACTCCAGGCTGCTTGTCGAGCATTGAGCTGTCGCTTAGTGGCAAAGTACTGGAGTGCCTGATGATCTGTGAAAACAGGAAAGGGATGCTGAAGGGCAGTGAGCATGTGGTTCCATTCTCACATGGCATAGACAATTGCCAGTAGTTCCTTATCATGGATGGGATAGTTGCACTCTATTGTATTCATAGTTCGCGACAAATAGGCCACTGGATGCCAGTTGCCTTGCTCATCCTGTTGGGAAAGGGCTGCTGAGATTACACCATCTGAAGCGTCTGTTTCCAGCTTGGTAGAAGCTGCTTCCTTGAAATGTGAGAGCAAGGGAGCTGAGCATAAGGCAGCCTTTAGGTTGTCAAAG